ACCCCCTTTGGAATCAGAGGGTGGGCACATCCCTCCAAGTTACACTGGGCAAGAATGAAGAAAGGATATATTCTTAAATAAAATTAGAGGGATGTGATCAGAAGAGATAAAAAATGCAGTCAGGCATAAAACATGATGTCTATTATGGAGACTGAAGGAAATAGGAGGAGATTTGAAGTGGTTTTCTTAAAATATTAAAGCATTCTTGTTTATTAAAAAATCCATTCTTCAGCCCCAAATATAGTGAGACCCCTTTTATTAAATTGTTTTATACCATTTAGTCAGACTAAAGGATTTTAAGATCTTGCAGGTAGATTTGCTGTGTGTATTTGGTCTTTCTTTAAGAGATAACAGAAGCTCCATAATGCCTAGGAGCAGGGTCCCTTGATGTGCCTGCCTGGAACATTCCTGTCTAACAAAGCCTTATCTAACAGTTACTCTTTCCAGCTTCAAGGCAGAAAATCACCTGGATCACTGCATTTTCAAATTAATCTCACAAATGATGTCCAGGAAGCAGACAGTGCCAGAGTCCATTCTTAGAGAGGGGCTATTAATAGAGTTCAATAGGGAAAAGCTCAAATGTATGCAGAAAAAGAAAAAGACCTGATGGAAGATGTAAGAAGGATTCATGCACAAAAGGAGTGGTAAGTATGTGGGTATATCTAAGCAGAAACCAATTGAACGGAACTACTAAAAATGTACAAATTGTAAGTTTGAAAAAGAGACCTAAGGGCCTCCTTGGTGGCTCAGGGGTTGAAGTCTCAGTGCTATCAAACTATCCTCATCACACACTGCAGCATAAATTCAATCCCAGGGCAGGGAGTTAATATACATAGTGCAGCAGACCTTTCCTGTCTAGCCCACTGCTCCCCTCAGCAGTGTATTCCAGTAAATTTGCCTTTCTGCTCCCACTCTGTCTCTGGCAAATCCTCTCAACCCCCTTACCTCTGGCCTACACCCCAGTTCTTGTATGCATAAATAAATAAAAATAAATCTTAAAAAAAAAGAGGGACCTAAGATACCAGAAAATAATACCATGTATATTGGGAGGATGAGGATCAGAGTAAAGTTATTCTAAGGTTCTTCTATGACCCATGAAGAGAGTAAAATTATTAAATTTTGAAATGGTAAAGTATCCATAACATATTTAGAGTAAGCAAATACTTAGGGTAAACACATTGCTTTGTGAGCAGCTGTACTCTCAGACATTATAACTGAAGAACAGAAAGAAAAAAATGAATCTCAACTAATCCAAAATTTTCACAAGAAAGGAGATTAAAAAAACAGAAATAAAATGGGATATATAGATGGCACAAAAAAGTGACAGAATTAAATCCAAACACTACCTTATTTATCACTGTAAATGAAACCCTTCAGTCAAAGACAAAAATGGAAAAGATGATGAAATCCAACTACTTATATGAGACATACCTTTTAGAACATGACTACAGGAATATCATTAAAAATGGGAAAATAATTATTTTTAGGCAAAGACTAAAGAAATGTACTATAGCTATAATAATAACAAAAAATAGACAAGGACAAGAATGCAAATACCACCACCAGAAAAAAAGACATTTATAAACTGCTTTATACCCAATAAAGGAGCAAAAATTAACTATAATGAAAAATTTATAAATCCACCATATTTAGAATGGAATAAAAAATATTGCATGACAAAATTTGTAGTATATAAATGGATACTTATAGGGAAATAGTTTAACATTAATCACCTAAGCATAGGCTTATATCTTTGTGTAAATCTATATGTAACATATATAGAAGCAGAAATTAATGTGGTAAAAAGCAATTATACAACTGAGAATACTGATGAAGATGTATATTTTCTGAATAGTTTAATGAAACTGACAAACTTCTGCTAAATTAACCAATAAAAAATGAAAGAGGGCACAAATTACCACTATTCAGAAAAAAAGAGTTTTTTTTTTTTAATAAGAAGATATGGTAGACAACTTTATGCCAATAAATCTGAAAACATAAAACTATATAAACTCCTGGCAGATGGTTTATAAGTAATACCACATTAATTAAACATTCATCTACTGTGGCCTCCCTGGTGGCACAGGGGTTAAGTCTCAGTGCTATCAAGTCATCACCAGCCACTGTGGCATGAATTCAATCCCTGGCCAGGGATCTGACTCACATGGTGCAGTGGGTCAGCTGTCTCAGCTGCTGCTCCCCTCAGCAGTGTATTTCAGTCAGTCTGCCTGTTCTACTTCCTCACTCTGTCTCTGGTGAATCCTTTCATTACTGCCCCCCCGCCACACTTCTGGCCTACACCTCAGTTCTTGTATGCATAAATAATAAATCTTTTAAAAATAAACATTTACTCTAGAAATTCATAGAAAACTATGAATAAAAACAAACTTCTTTAGCTCAATAAAAGGCATCTACCAAAACCTAAAGGAAACATAAAACTAACAGCAGGAACAAAGCACAGATGTCTACTACCAACACTTCTTTTCTGCACTGAAGAACCAAAACTATTTTAGTATGAGCAAGTTTTCTGGATATAAAATCATTATTCAAAAGACAATTACATTTCTACATATCAACAAACATTAATTAGAAAATGTAATTTTAAAAAGATGCCATTTAAAAATAACAATGTAAAGTACCTAAGAATAAATCTATCAAAAGTTATACATACCCATTATGAAACTTTATTGAAAAGATATTAGTTGATCAAGTTAAAATGGAGATATACACTTTGTTTATGGCTAGTATATTCAATATTGAAAAATATGTTAATATTCTTCAAATCGACCCACAGAATCAATAAAATTCCAATCAGAATTACAGCAGGAGTTTTTGGGTGGAAATTGATGAACTGATTCCAAAATTTATGTGGAAGAATAAAGGGATTATAATAACTCTTTCTCTTGAAGAAGAAGAACCAAATACAAAAAGTCAATTCAAGGTAGCTTAAAGGCAAATGTGAAAGGAGCAAAACCATAAAACTTAGATGTCTATGTTAGAGCTTTCATTCATACATGAATGAGACAGGAACAATTTCTTCAAGAAGACACACAAGAAAGTGGAAACCATAAAGATAAATGTTGATAAATTCTGCCACATTAAATTTAAAAACTTATGCTTTCCAAAAAAAGATTATTAATCAAATGAAAAGACAAGCCCTAAATTAGAAGATCATTGCCAAGCATACAATCAAAAAGAATTAGTATTTGAATATATAAAGAACTTCAAAAATCATAAGAAAAAAACAACTCAGTTGGAAATGGACAAAGGGCACAATTTGGTACTTTATAGAAAAGAGAACACAAATGATTCATAAATGTGTGGGGTGCCTCTTTTGAAAGCAGGAAAGACAAATTAAAACCACAATGACACATATTTTCATACTCACCTGAAAATTTGAGGCCAGGTGATGGTGAGCCTAGGGAATACTGTGCACTGCTGGCTGAAGTTACTTAGCGACACCATGACCCAGGGGCCTCCCTGGTGGTGCAGGGGTTAAAGTCTCAGCGCTATAAAGATATCACCAGTCCCTGCAGCAGAGTTCCATCCCTGGCCAGGGAGCTAACCTACTTGGTACAGCAGACTTCTGTTTTACCCGCCGTTCCCCTCAGCAGTGTATTACAGTAGATCTACTTTTTCTGATCCCCACTCTGTCTCTGGTGAATCCTCTTACCCTCCATACCTCTGACCTACACCTCATTTCTTATAAGCATAAATAAATATATTTTTTAAAAAAAAAGACACTATGACCCAGCAATCTCATTTCTAGCTATAAACTTTAGAAACATTTTTAGCATATGTGCACCAGGAAAAAAGTACAAGAATTCTTATATCAATATTGTCCCCACAGGCAAAAACCAAAAAAAATTGGAAAAAAAACTCTTCTACACCTCCAACAAAATGGACAACAGAATGGACAAACCAACCAAAGTATATTCATACAATGAAAAAACATTACAGGCATAAAAAGAAACAAATTACAGCTGGAGCCATCATCAAAATTATTGTACATCTCAGTTACATGAGGCGGCCACCTAAGGCTGTGCCTATAGACTGTGGCCGCAGGTTAAAGAACCTGACCTGACCACCAGCCTTACTCCCTCTGCCCACAACAGTGTCAGAGGAGGGGCAGCAGAAACTTTATATTGTATAAACATTTGCACCTTTTTCCTTGCATTGAGCTGGACACTTAGTTGCAAAAATGAGACTGTTCTTGTGAATGAGAAGCCAGAAAAGCTATGGGATTGGTCTGAATTTGAGAAGGGGCATGGAAACAATAAGCCCACAGAGAGAATTTGAAGGAACAGTGGGAGAAAGAAAAAGTGATCTTATGATCATCTCTATATGGAGCCCATTTTATTTAATACAATGGTTACCCACACAATCAGTATGCTAATTATAAATGACCCTTATCTAATCCCTTCATGTGCCAAATAGGAACTCCTTATGAGATAGTATTACAGTGTAATGGAATATCGTAGAAAATGAGACCTATTTCCTAATGATCCAGCACCAAAACATATTTCCTTAGAAGGTAAATTGGGCCCACTGTCCAAGTGTAAGTAGCAGGAAGGAGTGATTCTATGATTTTAGCTAGGTTCAGGAACCATGGGTGCTAAATGATGTAAGATACTCACTGGAAGGAAAATATGCCTGCCGGGAACAGCCCTGTAACCTCGGTCCTAGAACAGCACCTGCTATAGAGTAAGAAAATGTTTGTCAAGTGAATGAATGACTGGAACGCCAAGAGACAAACAGGAAAATGAGAAACAGGTATGACTTACCTTTCTCAAGGCTTAATCTGTAAATTTTCATTTCAACCATAATAATTTTACAGATAAGGGACTCAAGAACCTATGATGGTAGGGTAAGTCCCAGCTTAATAAGAGTACAGAGCATCACCTAAAGTCACCTAGTAGAAAGTATGTATGGCTGTGGTGATCCAGGTATCTATAATTGGAAATCTATCTCTATATATGATACACAAACTAGAAGAAAAATTTGTTTGAGTTCTCCATGGAGAATATCTTTATTTATTTATATTCTTGCATACTCTAAAACGCACAGTGTGAATTTCCTTTCTTCAAAAACAGTTGTGAGCCTGGTCAATTAATCTGAGATCTTCGGGAGGTCTTCAAAACATTGCCTTAGGTTTGAGCTAAGCAAGTCACAGAGATTGGTCATGAACTACTACAAAATTGCAGGAGGTCTAGTTATTATTCAACAGATACTAGAAAAGCTTTGAGAACACAGACATACAGCCAGACAGAAGATAATAGGAGAGCAGATGCTATTTAAGTAATGGGATTTGCATATATATGACTTTATGTACAACATCAGAATTCTCTTATAGATAGTAAACTTATGCTTAAATCCTTATTTTAAGGGCACTCTAATATAAATACAAGTTTCACTAATTTTAATCTTTTCTCTTTGGCTCACAAATGCACGAAAATACCATAAACAGTTTTCAGAACTTACTGCATTAATATATAAATAAGATACATTACAAATGGGAAGAAAATACAAGACACCTCTTTAACATGGTAAATATCTGAATATAAATAAGCAAATATTTCATTTACCTACAATTAAACAGTCATTGAAATCATTACACGTGTCCTCCCCCCCAAGTCAGACAACAGTAATAGCCACAATCTACACAAATTAATCTCTAAAAATACAGCAATAGTACACCTGTGACAATGACTCTGCTGCTATTTCCCCCTAACAGGATACTAATGGGCAGGGCATGACTCTTATCATTTAGGGGTGCTTTTTCTCATCCATCATCACTTCAGGTGGGAGAAACACTGACAATGAGGTCAGCTGCCACCACCAGCATTTCCCTTTATCCTTATGACATGACATTTGGAAAAACATCTTCCCTGTGGTTGTTGAGTGAGCTGGTTTGCAGCATGTTTGGCCCCTCGATAAACAGCTGAAGGTGAAGTTAATTCTTGTGGAGTGGGGGGCATGCTGTGATCTATCACTAAACCATACTCACTACACATAAAGATAGAGAGAGAGAGGTATATGTAACTGTACATATATACTGTATATCTAATGTGCAACTTTTTAAAAAGAACATTATTTCCTGCTAACTTAACAAGCTTAAGTAAGGTTGTAACAGTATTCTTCAAGAGAGTATATGTTCCCTCAATGAAATGGGGCATGTGTTTCAGCAACTTATAGAGGTTGTTAAAGGGAAAGGGAATTCCTGCAGACTCATGTTCTGAATTTATAGATCCTGGCCCAATCTTTCTATCTCCTCAATGAGGAAGTCGATATCAGACTGGGTAGCTGCTGGATTTGAGATGACCATCCGGAAGAAGTTGGCCTTGTCCCCCTGAGGCTGGTAGCCGACCATGGTGGTGCCAGACTCCATCATCAGCGCTTTGATTTTTGGAGCCACCTTGTGCCAGAAAACACAAAGCAAAACTGAAATTCATAGTCACAATACTCTGTAACAATGCAACCCATTTCCTGATTGGATAAAAGGAGCAATTTGCTTATTACTATTTGTGTTCACATGGATATAAAGGTAAAGAAATGTTTTACATCTAAGTTTCTTCTGGATGTGGTTATATCTAATGACTAAGTCTTCCCTTAGAAAGTATTCTGCAATTGAATTTTGAAAGTCATTCATAGAACAGATAGCAAAATAAAAATCACAAAAAAACCTTCAGAACAGATCTTAAAAGTTATCATCAAAAGAAAAACATGTAAACTATGTATGGAGATGGCTATTACTTAGACTTAATGGCGATCATTTCATAATATATATACAAATATCAAATCATTATGCTGTAGACCCAAAACTCATGTTTTATGTCCATTACATCTAAATAAAAAATTAACAAAGACAACTCTTTTTGGCAACAATGCAAATTAAGACTTATATAAAACTCAGAGTGCCCAGGACAATACCTGGCACATAGACTATACTCAACTAACATTTGTTGAATAGTTGGATGAATTATATAGAAATTAGATACAATACAACAGGATATAGAAACTAGATATAGAAATCAACAACTAGAATGAATAATTTTTTAGAGTCGTCTTGAACTTAGTAAGTGGCACTTTAACAGGCACAGTTTAATATGGAATGTTCCTAGGTGTATGTATATTATTCAGTCACCCTGTACACAGCCCCTTTAATGAAGAACATCAACCAAAGATAGGCAAGCACCCTTTAGAGGTCCCCATGATATCTAGCCTTGGGTTCTTCAGACCCAAGAAGAATACAACAAAAAGTCTTCCCACCAATCTATGACTATTAACCTACCCCAAGTCTTTATTTTTTATCTCTTCCCCATTAGAAAGACACATTACGGTGAGAATGTTCTGACTAGGCAGAGAAATTTCAGAGAGTTAGATGAGAGGAAAGATTCCATACCCTGTGTAGTTTTTCCTGTCGTTCAGGGCTATCTGGAACACCCCTCAGGCTTTGTGGAATATACCAGAAACAGACGTTTGTATGCTCAGGCTGCAGAGATTTTTCACAAAGAAAGCAGAAAATGATGAGAACCTGAGAGAAAACGTCCCAGACCCATGTGTATCCTTGGTAGAAGTTTCACTAAATAAATAAATAAATAAATAAATAAATAAATAAATAAATAAATGGTTTCATGTTCATCTTAAGGCATAATTACTTTTCTATAGTAGGGAGAACAATGCCTAGTTTATACCATCCTAACTGACAAGAACTATTTCTTATATTTAATTTTCTAGATGAATAATGTTACTACATGAAATATTTTTAAAAATTATTACCTGTGTATAGTTTTTAAAAGGGGATTGTATATCTTAACATTTTGTAGTGCTTTATATTTAGAAGATGCTTGAAACAATTTATTTTATTGATACTGAGTATTTTAATGAGTTCATTATATAGATACTGAATCATTACTTGATGAGTCAGGATTATCATGATGAACATTTATAGTGGTTCCAAACCCTAAGACAGGGCTTACTGAGATACCTAGAACTTTTGTGTCCCTGCCCTAAAGACTCCCGTGTTTCTTTTGCTCATCTCTATTCTTGCTATAGTCTTTGTTTCCTACATAGTCACTGTTTGCCATTATTGTGCCTGCCTCTAACTGACTTGAGACATCACATTCGTCTTCAATCTACTCGTAGAATGTTTAAAATAATGTACACAAGTGGCAGGAGTTCCCACAAGTAAAATACATGAGTGCTGGATCATTGATTTGAACCACTCCGGGCATTTTCCTGTTCATCTGGGGACTCTCCAGTGTGCACCTAGTCATTTAAGTCACCTGATAAATGGACTATGTGGAATGTAGGTGGCGTTACATTTTACGGTTTTCTGACTGAATTTTATTTCTTTCAACACGAGCCTGTTCCATCTTTATCCAACTTCAAGCTCCACTAGGGCAGAAACAGTATCTGTTTTGGTCACTACTGATCCCCAGCCCCTGGCATGGGACCTAGCACAGAGCAGTGCACTCAGTACAGGTGTCACAAGCACTTTACTGTGCAATGTAGATGGGAACTCTAGGCAGAGACAACTTTATCTTGCTCTCTTCCTAATGAATCTATGAAAGCAGACACAGGAAAGCAGAACTTCAGGGCCTCCCAGGTGGTGCAAAGGATTAAGTTTCAGCATTACAGATAGATGACTGGACCAAAAAGATGTGGTACATATACACAATGGAATATTACTCAGCTATCAAAAAAAAATAAACTTATGCAATTTGCAGCAACATGGATGGAGCTGGAAGGGATCATGCTCAGCAAAATAAGCCAGAAAGAAAAAGAAAAATACTGGATGGTCTCACTCATAGAAAACCTAAATAAGGACCAGGAAAAAGACTAATTATAATAAAGTAAAAATCAAAATCAACAAGCAACTATAAACCAAAGACACACTACAGGGGATGGGGGAAGAAGGAGTAGGATCAAAACAAGGGGAGTAGGAATTGTATGGGGACTATAACTAAGATGAAAATGCATACATTGTGTAAAAATGAAAAATTATGTAAAAATATATGAAATAAAAAATAATGGGAAAAAAATAAAATGAAGAAGAAGAAGAAGAAAGAAGAAGGAGGAAGAAGGAGGAAGGAGGAGAAGAAGGAGGAGAAGAAGGAGGAGAAGAAGGAGAAGAAGAAGGAGAAAAAGAAGGAGAAGAAGAAGAAGCAGCTATCAGCAGACACTGCAGCACAAGTTTGATCCCTGGCCAGGCAACTGACCCACATGGCGCAGCAGACCTCTCCTGTCTTACCCCCTGCTCCCCTCAGCAGTGTATTTCAGTGTATCTGCCTGTTCTGCTCCCCACTCTGTCTCTGGTGAATCCTCTCACCCTCTATACCTCTGGCCTACACCCTAGCTCTTATATGCATAAATAAAAAAATTAAAAAAAAAAAGCAGAAGTTCATTTTAGAACCAGTCTTGGGAGACAAGGATATTCCCATCCTACAAGTGTCTTAGAATTGAGAAACACTTCATTACGGAAGTTCAAGGCAGTTAGACACACTCAAGAATGATAAAGTCTTCAGACCTACGAAGAAAAACCTCTTGCCAGTAAATGGCTAGTCAGGAGCCATACCATTTTAGAAAAGGAGAAAGAATTCATCCCAACACTGTGTCCCATCATAGAACCAGAGGGAATTAAATGAAAAGTGCATAAAATGAAATTCAGGGCAGCTTTTGGCCATGTGAGTAAACATGGCTTCAGGACTTTCCTGCAATAGACTTTTTGTGCATCTAGGCCACGATGACAACTTACCTCCCCATCAAAAACCATTTCAAATTCTTCTCTGTTTTTAATCTTGGCATAAAGATATTCAGCCAGTTCCAGGCATTTGTTGATCTGATTTTCAAATCCCACCGTGCCCTGTATTTAAAAAAGAAAAGTCATCTTTGTTGGTGAGAGTTGCATTTTCTTGTGGTGGGTATTTGAGAAGGCTCTGCTGTCCTCATCTATTGGCAATACACATAAGAACATTCTTGCAGATGGTTAGGAAGTGCCATCTGATGAAATGTGCACAGCTTCTCTGCAGCGCTGCATGCAGTACATGAAGTGTGCCTGCTCTTTGTTGAAGGCACTCTATTCTCTGGGCAGGTATTCTCCCTGGATGTCTAGCTTCCTGATAGTTATTTCTAGCCTGGACCTGAAGCCTATTTCTGGTTTGCTTTAGGATGGTGCTACTCTTGTGCTGTTTATGGACGGACTAAGGCCAGCCCATAAACTGTGACCAGTCATAAGATGAGTTCAGAAATTGAGACTAATAAGAAACTTTTATAGCAATTTGACAGAGTAAATTTATATTTGCTGAATCTCATTTAAAAATTGATGTTTGTATATTGTATAGTTTTTTACTTTATCTTGGTAGCGATTCATCTTTTTGTGTTAGTCCATGATAGGTTAAACATTTTTTTTGGTTCTTCACCACAGATAGTTTGAGAAATACAACTTTAGAAACAACCTTCCCCAGAAGTAGATCCTGGTCAGATATGTCCCCCACACTCCCAGGCAGGCAACCTTCCACAAAATACAGCATTGTCCCTTTTTGGTGATAGGCAGGTGGGCAGATGGGGAAGCCATTGGTCTCAGTATATGTCCTGAGATTGCAATAATTCCAACTACTGACAAATTGGATGAGCATGAATTTCAAAAGCCATCATGGTTGATAAATACCAGCAGCACAGGGGGTGTTGAATGGGTCAGTGTTAACAAGAAGGGCACTTGTATGATGTGGTGATTGCTAATGGGCCTGGGTGAAGTCTAACTCTAGCAAAGCATGCGCCTCCCCAGGTAGCGAGTGCTGAGTGTATGCCCAGCCAGTCCACTTTCTGCTTGGGAAGGAAGCCCACAGTAGGGTGCCACTTTCGAGAGTCACACTTCTGGCAAACGGTTCAAGAGGCTATTGTTAGGCAAACCAAGGCCACAAATTGCTGAGACAGGCTATTTGTTCTTTATATTTCTAAATGGTAGGATTCTTTCCTCATTGGCAATTTATGACTATGTATATGCTTAAAATATAGGTCATAGAAATGTGGCGTTTTGTGATAGAAATCAAATGCAGACTATTTCTGTATCAAGACAAAATGACTTAATGAGGCAAAATCTAATCATCCGTCAAATTCTTCCTACAGAAGAAATATTTGACTAGTATATTTTTCTGGAAAACTTATTTTGGTATTAGATAGATCTAATCTTAAATATGAAACTATTAAAATTAATTTATAGGTAAATTTATAGGTAAATGTAAACAATGGATGCAATACAAAGTTGTGAAGTCAAAGCTGCCGTTACCTAATGGCATAAAAATACTTTTGAAACTGGGCCTCCCTGGTGGTGCAAGGGCTTAAGATGTAACCTGTGAAGCTATTTGCAGCTACTGCAGCACGAGTTCAATCTCCAGCCAGGGAGCTACACTCATGGTACAGCAGACCTCTCCTGACTCATCTGCTGCTCCCCTCAGCAGTGTATTTCAGTCAATCTGCCTGTTCTGTTCCCTATTCTTGTCTCTGGTGAATCCTCTCACCCCCCGCACCTCTGGCCTGTACCCCAGTTCTTGTATGCATAAATGAATAAATCTTAAAAAATAGTTTTGAAACAAATAGCCAAATGGTAATCCTTTCTCACATCCATATTTTTTTGAGAAATTCCAATGGTTTGCTTTTTTTTCTAGACACAGAAATGCAACTTGAAAGATTGATGAATGCAGAAAGAGTATGACTCAATCTACTGGTAAGATTTCTCAGAATAAAGTATGCATTCTAGAATAGTATATAAAGTACAAATAATGGGAAAGTTGTTATTTAAATAGAACTTAAAACTGTCGTATATTTATATGATTTGAGGCCTCATCGAGCAAGACAGGACTGTGCATAGAATAACACAGAATCATTGTATCTTTATCTCTTATTTTATGTCTGCACTAATTTCAACATCCCCGAGGACTGCTGTGGAAGCCCAAATCTTGGCATAGCTCTTAGTTAAAAGAGAAAATTATAAGAAAATTTCATGCTAATTCACACTGAGATTGAATGGAAGGAGGAAGAATCTCACATAAAGGATAAAGCGATTTCATTTGCAAATAAGTAGTTAAGTCAATTATGTAGATATTGATTATACATGTCATGAATTATCTGTGATGTATCTTTGCCTCTCTTTTTCCAGCCAGCCTGTGAAAATTACATATGTGCAATCTTTCCTGAATTCCTTTCTTTGTACCTTTGCTTTCCACATCAGCCAGAACTTGAAAATGTCCACATGGCGGCCACACTGAATTGCCTTGTCCCCGGTGTCATAGGAGACGTCATACTGCTTGTCTGGCTGGAAGAGGTACCCAGCGCACATCTGGTTGCAGCCTTGCAGGATTCCCTATCAAGGAAACCAAGACAGGGGGCATCTGTCATCACAGTACAGAGATGTGCATAGCTACCAAACAGGGCCTTCGGGTCACAGCAACCTTCCTTCTAAAGTTTCTGTGAGGCCCCGCACTTTCCCTGATGTCCTTCTCTAAAACCACTGTGGGAAAGGCCTTTCCCCTTCTCCCACAATAACTCTGGTTAGAAAATGATTTTTGTCTCAGATGCCTACAAAGGTCCCCACAGTCTATGGGCATCTGGAAATGTGTAGGGATGTTTTGGAGTTGTTTCAAAGACTAGTAAGCTCTATGTTGCTCTGGGGATGGAGGGGCAGAGTTGGGGATTTAAACTTCCTACAGAGAATGGGACAGTCTCATGCTGTGAAGAATTTTCCTCCCCAAAAGCACTTCCAAAAAAGTCTTCCCATCTTTTCCAAGGCCTCCTATGATGTTAACAGGCCTCCACTCTACTTGGAGTGGAGTAAAGGGCCTATGAGATTCTGGTATCCACAGGCTGAGACAGACCTTTTGGAATCCATAGTGTGCTAGGGTTTAATTGGCATAACAATGCTTTTGAGGGCAGGGTCCTATTATTAGATACTTGAAGAAGAAAACATAGCATTAACTCATTTATAGCAGCTTTGGGGCCAACATTCCTATTGTTGTGGGACCACAAATTCATGCTAAGACCTTAAAGTATGTTTCAGTGACCACTGAGGTGAGAATTAGTGCCTCACCTAATTGCTCTCTTTAGTTTGTATAAACATGAAGGAATGTGAGATGAAAGGATCTCACAAAAGATAAGAGGGACCCGAACAAGGAAGAAGGCTGTAGAGAGCAAGAGCTGGGAGGAGGTACCAGTTAGTGAAGATGAACTCAGTTAGTGAAGACTGACAAGTAAGGGCAGGAGCCAACAGCACAGCAGTCCCTGTGGGGCTGTCAATTATGTGAGTTCATCAACAAGTACTTTGAATAGATCCCACGCTTTTCTCTACTGTGCCTTCTAAAGGTTGTGCCGGCTGCCCCCTCATCTCTGGAGGGAGTACAGACCTTTTCCTTAACAAGAATGGCAGAGCACTGCAGCAGCACACCCATCATCTTGTGAGGGTTCCAGGTGACTGAGCTGGCCCTGAAAGAAGCACATGATACTCTGAGAAGTTGCAGGTGTCAGCAAGAGGCAGCTCTCCTCCTGAGAAAAACACCCATCGCGACATGTCAGTACCCATTTTTGATGCCTAGTCTCCTACCTAATGAATCGAGTAGTAAACAAGTATTTTGCAGTCTCTAGATAAAATGCAGATGCAGATTGCTTCTTCCAAATAACTGCAATTAACAATAGCTAACATTTATGAAGAACTTCCTATGTCTTACTGTTCTGAGAGCTTTCTAGGCATTATATCTATATGATGTCATGGTTAAGAACTCAGGCTTTGGGACCTCCCTGGTGGCACAAGGGTTAAAGTCTCAGCGCTACCAAGCTATCACCAGTCATTGCGGCATGAGTTTGATTCCTGGCTAGGGAGCTAACCCACATGGCACAATAGACCTCTCCTGAATCACCTGCTGCTCCCCTCAGCAGTGTAATTCTGTAGATCCAACTGTTCTGCTCCCCACTCCGTCGCTGGTGAATCCTCTCATCCCCTGTACCTCTGGCCTACACCCCAGCTCTTGTATGCATAAATAAATAAAAAATAAATCTAAAAAAAAAAAAAAAGAACTCAGACTTTGGAACCAGACTGTCCAAGTCCCAAGTATGAATTCTGGCTCTGATATTTGCAAGTTTGGGCAAGTTACGTAAAATTTCTGTGCCTCAGTTTTTCTATGTGTAAAATGAGGAGTATAGTGTCTACTTCACAGAATTGAATAAGGAATAATGTGAGGTAGTAAGTGTGAAATGGGGCCTCCCTGGTGGCACAAGGGGTTAAGTTTCAGCACTATGAAGCTATCACCAGCCACTGCAGCAAGAGTTTGATCCCCGGTCAGGGAGCTAACCCACATGGTGCAGCAGACCTCTCCTGTCTCAGCTGCTGCTCCCCTCAGCAGTGTATTTCAGTCAATCTGCCTGTTCTGTTTGCCTCTCTGTCTCTGGTGAATCCTCTCACCACACCCCCCATACCTCTGGCCTATACCCCAGTACCTGAATGCATAAGTAAATAAAATAAATCTTCAAAAAATAAGAAGTACGAAATGTTAGCTACCATGCCTGGAAGAGTTCATTCTCACTACAACCCTATGATAAGGGGACTATTATCCCCTCTACTTCAGAAGGAGAAACTGAGGCACAACAGGGTTATATACATCACCCAAAGTCACACAGATGGAAAATGCTGGAGTGAAGACTCAAGTCCAGGGAGTCATTTTCTAGCCAATGCTCTTCACTCCTCCACCAGACAGCCTGCCTCTAAGCAACAGACTTAAGCTTCCTTCTTCCTTCCTGTTCTCTTTTAATAAATGGTCTGGTGATGCTGAGCTACCTACTTGTGAGGAGTATGAAGAGTGACACTGAAAAGAAAGGATCAATTGGACAATTCTAGACTTTTGACTACTTAGCAGCGTTGTTTAAATGCTAAATGAACATGATATTGCCAATTTAGGCTGCAATGATAGTTTAACAAGCATGGTCTCCTAGCAACCGTATCACTCTGTCAGGCACAATTAGATGGCTCAGGAGCACACTAGCCAGGACATAACGGAAACAACTAAGTGTAACATACGATGATTAAAACTTGGGTAACTTGCTTCAGTGGTTTACAGACTCTTCCCAATGGCCTGGCCCACAGCTGGGCTCGGTGTTTAATACCTGTGAAGGATGGAATTGGCTGAGAATTATACTGTCTTTGCCCTCCCTGGAGCAAAGTCCTTGCAATGAATTTGTAACCTTTTCATCTTGCGTATGTCCTTTAGAAGAAAAAAAATCACTTAGTGCACACATAACTACAGGGTGTATGCTATGTTTTGAGGAGGAGAAAGGCCTGAAGAACTTTTCCTGTAAGTGCATAGTAAAGAAAATCTTTGTAAAAGAGATTCAAGGAAAGTTGACTAAAAGTTTATCTTGTTAAAAAACATCAATGTCGTCATATTTAATAGGTAGTGGATTTAATCAGTTTTCTCAGATCTATTATTACTGAGTCATATTTATTTTTGTCATATTTAGATCATTATATGTAGATCAAAAATTATATTTAGACCTCATAAAATATCATAAATGTTTTTTTTGAATGTCTCAAAGGTCTAAAGTAAATGATTCTTTATTGCTATAATGGAAAGTAATAAGACATAATATGGATTCAATTTATTTTAGAATATGTGCTTTGAAATGTTAGAAGAAAAGGTTTAGTGTAAAATGTTTGAAGTTTTAGACTCAGAGATGGAAAAATAAAAATCAAGAAATTTAAAGTAGAGCGGGACTGATTCATCTATAAGAAAATTATCCTCTAATTTTTAAGGTTAAAGGACTTTACTTCAAAGAGTCAGTTCCACTCACTTTGAAATGGACCTTCAAAACTGAAACAGAGGGAAGGGGCATACAGAGGCAACAAAAAAACTCAAGCCAGGATCCTTGCTCTGAGAGAAGTCTCTGGTGTGCTTGTCCTGAGGCCTGCCCCACACCTACCTCTCCATCTTCAGTTTGCTCTTTCCTCTCCCACTTTACTCAGCTATACTGGGCTCCTTGATAGTCTTCCAAGTGCCTGCAAACAGTTCTACCCTCAGGGTCTCTGTACTTGTTCTTGCCACTGCCTGGAATACTCTCCCTTGTTTCCTTGCTTCCTGTTGCCCTTTATCCCAGTATCTGCTGAAATGTCACCTTGTCAGAAAGGGCACTGACTACCCTGTCTAAAATGGCATGTCTTGTCACTCACTGCTATTTAACACTGTTTTATTTTTCTTTACTATGAGACTGACTGAATGCTCTGTGTTTATGAATATCTAAGCCCTCTAGAATGTAAACTGCAGAAGGATAAATCTCTTAGTTGATAGAACCTTCCCACATCTGCCTTTATTTTCCTACAAGTATCAAATAATACTTTTTTTTAAGAAAAGAGCCATAGATGGCTAGACTGAAGACAGATAACAAGCATTCATACCCATGTCTGCTGGCTCATGATAGGTGCTCAATAAATTTTTGCTAAATGAATCAATGTGAGTTCATTTTAGATCAACATTTAGGAATCAGGTCAAAATCACATTATGCTTAGACTCCCCACTGTTCTTGAGTAATGAACAAGAAAATAACAAGTTAGGTGAGCTGAGTGTCCAACACTTTTCCCACCAGTAAGCTTAGTAAGAAGAAGGAAATGAATCAGTACCCCTTCCTCTGCCCTGGTAAACTCTAATTTAGCTTCCAAATCCGTGGACTGGTAATGGGCCTCCCCGGTGGCGCAGTGGTTGAGCGCTGGGTTGCGAAGCCGCCTGCGGCCTCTGCAGCACAGGTTCGACCCCCGGCTGCTCCCCGGCCACCAGAGGAGGGTCCCACATGGCGTGCAGACCTCTCCTGCCACCCACTGCTCCTCTCAGCAGTGTACTTCGGTCCTTCTTCCTGCTCTGCTCCCTGCTCTGGCTCTGGTGAATTCTCTCACCCTCCCGCGCTTCTGACTGTACCCAGTGCTTATATAAATAAATCTCCCGGCCTCCCCTGGTGGCGCAGCCAGCGCTGGCTGCGAAGCTGCAGCCTCTGCAGCGCCTGTTCGATCCTGCTCAGTCCCACATGGCGCGCAGACCTCTCCTGCCTGCTTCCCTCAGCAGTGTACTTCGTCCTGCTGCTCTGCTCCCGCTCTGGCTCTGGTGAATTCTCTCACCCTCCCGCGCTTCTGACTGTACCCAGTGCTTATATAATAAATCTTTAAAAAAAAAAAAAAAAAATCCCTGGACCGGTAAGATTCTCTTCTCTCCTACCTGGATACCTTGCCATCACCTTTCTTTTTGCACTTACCATGCTGAATTGTGACTGGTAACTCATCTTTCTCTCTTTCTAAATTATGAACTTACTGAAGGCTCTCCAGACTGGGAAATAAATTATGTTTGACTTCCCAGTGCCTAGCATGCAATAAATGCTCAATAAACATCTATTGAATGAAATGTAAAGTGAGCGCAGACAGATTGAAATAAGGCATTGATTATCAGGGCAGGAGGGAGTGGGTACAACAGGTTGGATGGCCTGAATGGAAGGCGGCCTTACCTTTCTATGCCACTGAGTTTATGGCGGTGCTTCCTGGACATGAGCAGCCCACCACCCCAGGCAGCCTGTAATGACAGATAAAAAGGACAGGGAGGGGAGCAGTGACATTTAAGAATTCCAAATCAATCATTCCACACTAGTAAAACATGAGAGGGAATATAAAAGGTGAAAATCATAAGTTTGTCTGAAAAAAGGAACCCAACACTGATTGTCCAATCAGTGACAGCTCTAATCATCCATCAATTGTGCTTATTCATCTTATAAAGTTCCTCCAAGTTAACATCAGAGTAGTTGCATGAGTGATACAGGGAACGCAGGTCTAAGCTTGTAGTACCAAGACCCAAATACCTGCTGTGGAAAGTCAGACACTCCAAGAGTCCCCCCCAGGGGGCTCTGGAAGCCACACAGAGGGCTGATGCTGTCCTCTGCATCTTCTGAGGGTAGAATTCTAAGGGCTCCTGAAAATCTCAGAAAACAGCCAGTCTGCCAAGTTGGTGGTCCCCAACAGCAAGACCATTTTTGTGGGTGCCTTGATGCATGTCTCCTAAATACCTCAGAATGCCATGCGACACAGGACAGCCTTTGTTAATCTTTTGCTCAGTAGCAGGGCAGACTACCCCACTGTCCACTTAAGAGAAATTAAATTCAGAAAATATAGAGAAAGGAAAAAATACACCCAGTCATACATGTGAAAATGCACCTTTTGTGTTCCTGGGGAAATTTGGGACTAAAGCTCTTAGTTGATAATACCTTCCATATTTTGCCTTTTTTTTCCACATGTACCAAATACACATTTTTAAGGAAAGTGTCACAGCTGGCTGGACTAAAGGCAGCAGCTAAGTGTCCAGATTCATGGACCACATTCTATACATTGTACCTATAAAATGTATCTTCTATACATTTTCCCACCTCTGAAATCAGTTATATTTCATTTTGCAGCCATTTATACAGACAAAAGCCATCTGAGAAGGTGACAGAGACATATTCTAGGATGAACCCAGAAAATGGCAACTAGCCAGTAAGGAACTGGATGAGTCTGTGGCACTCACTATAGATCCCCACCTGGGGGCCAGAGAAGAGGAGGAATTAATGTGATGTGGAGAGAGGGCTGGCAGGGGCATTGGGAAAAGACTGAGGTAAATCATAAAGCAAAGCCCCTCCCCCAGAAAGGATGGGCACTCTGTGAGTTATAGCACTTACATCAACATGCAGCCAAAGGTTATATTTCTCACATATATCTGCAATCTCCTGTATTGGGTCAAAAGCGCCATAAACAGTTGTGCCAGCAGTTGCATTGACATAAAGAGGAACATAGCCCTATAAAGAAAGAGACATGGGTTGATATGTCTTTTAACCTTTCCCCTTCCCACATGAAGTAGAATTGCAGTAGCATTTATTTCTAATATATCAGCTAAGCTAGTGTGGTACTAGACACTATCATCTGGGAATATGCTTTATTAGTTCATTCACTCATTCATTCATTCAGTCAATAAATTTTTTTGAGTGATGTTTATGTACCAGCTCTACTGTAGATGCTAGGAATACAGCAGTTAGCACAAAAGATGTTTCTGACCTTGGGGAGTTTACATTCTAGTGGGGAGAGTGACAGACAATAAATAAAATTAAATAACAAAATTAAATAAGCAGGTTTATACTGATACGTTCTATGGCAAAACATAAAGCAGGAAAGAGTAATAATAAGGGTTTAGCAGGATGGGCAGGGAGCTCTGAATAGCATGCGGACATTGAATGTTTAGAAGCCACATTGTTCTAAGTAAACTAAATGTAGTAGAATATGATTTGGTTATTTAGAACAGCTCTGTATACTATATCACTAATAGTGGCTATGGTCAAACTTTGAACTGAACAAGAAATAAACGGGGAAGTGGAGTGGTAGGGCAAAGATGGGGCTTAGGAAGGTCTATGAGCCCTAGGTTTTGTTGAAACTTGGCTCTTCATCTGATCCTTCCTTGTTTAGCCCTAGAGACAGCTCCATCCACCTTCTCAAATGAGACCCCAGAAAACAGCTACAGTTAGAGAGGGAGGTATATGAATGTAACCCAAACAACAGAGTTGGTAAATGGCCTGACAGTTACCTGGCAGTGCCTTGTGGATACATCTGTTCTATGACTTTTTTTTTGTTCTGTAAAATTTATTGTGGCTGAATTCACCAAGTATTATGGGCCATCTGCCAGGGCATGCAAGCACTTTGCTACAGAATCCTCAGCTAAATTGTATTTGTTAAAATGGAATTATACCTAGGAAGTAACAAGTAAAAAGCTCAATTAAACTACATCTTCATGATGTTCCAGCAGTGGACTTATTGAAGTACATCAAACTAATCACTTGGCACAATGAAGGTAGGACAAGTGGTTTAATAACTTTTTCTTTTCTTTTTTTTTTTTCAAAAAAATTGATGTTGTAACAACATAGCTTTAGAGTCAGCTCATAAGTTGGAAGTAAGCAAATACCTGAGAACAGAATTTGAGAAACACAATAAAATTATCTATTACATTATCAAAGATGATTATTGTCTAAGGAAGAATGAAGGAATTTTTAAAAATTTGTTTTTACCAAAGTTTAGAGGCAGCAGAGTCAGAGAGTACATACCTTTTGTTTGGCTTCAAGAATTTTTGCCTCCAAATCAGCTGGAATTATCTTCCCCCTGTAATTATTATAAAAGGAGAGAAATTAGAATGAAGAATCAGTGAGACTGCACATGAAAAAAAACTTCAGCAGCAGCAAAAAGTAATTTAATCGGATATTTTCAACAGACCATTAGCAGCTTGGCACACTGTACTGAGTCAGTCCTTAAGCACAATAAAACAAATTTAACAGATGAACACATTTAATACATCAAGAACCTAATATTCAACTCTCCCTTGCCTACCTTTCATTGCACTTTATCAAAATCACATTGTCGGTTCCAAAGCCAAGAGCTGCCCCAGCCTTCTTTATGGAATAGTGACTCTGCAACAAACAGTGGCTTAGGTTAGAAGTCAGACAGTCCTTTGGAAAATACCACAGTATAAAAGCAAGAGGAACAACTCACGTGTTCTGATGTGAAGAGGACAAGTTTGGGCACAGCCGCCATGCCCTTGGTCTTAACTTCTGGGAAGTACTTGTAGCGAGCTGCCATGATGCTGTACATGTTGGATATGGCTCCCCCTATCAGCAAGAAGACACATTCCGAAGTGTTGTGGCTCCTTCATTAGTGTTTATGACAACAAAGACTGACCTGGTGTCTCCACACAGAAGAGAGGTCAGAAAGGGGAAGGAGAATATTTTGGTGGGTTCTGCTGCTTATTGTCAGGGCTTCCCTGGGGACCCTTTGCCTTGGGAATACAAGTAGTCACACTTATTATCAAAACCACCAAGGAAATCTGGCTGGAGGTGATTCACTCATAACAGGGCCATCCCACTTGAATCCTAGACAGAAATATAAGAGCTGGTAGCACTCATGGCTGCAAAGAGATAGGTGAGTTATAACCTTGCTGCTTCTACTTTCTGCTCAGTCTATTTACTGAACAAAGATGAATCTGTTCTGTGAGTCAGAAAGACAGCGAGAGAGAGAGTAATGGGGCCTACAGAAGGAAATAGTGACATTGGCTGGATACTCTCCTCAAAGAACAGTTCAACTGAGTTATTGAGTCATTTAGGAGAGCTCTAAGTTTATTCAATTAAAGCAAACTCATGTTTACTTAAATAAAGTTGCAAGGAGAACTGAAGTAACTCTCCAGTATGTCTGGCGAACACAAACTCATTACTTTTGCATCAATTACCTTACAATTAAATAGGCACATTTGTAGGAATTTACTTCACTCCCCTGTATATATTCTTACTGTCTCTGACACCATCCAAAACTCTTTCCTTTCCTCAAGACTGTCTGTCCTTATTCTAAAGATTTTTATTGTAGCTACATAGGACAGGAGATTGAAAGTAAATATACTATTTTGGCTGAACTAGATCATTCATATACTACTTTTGACTCACTGATCTCAGTTTAATCAAAAAGCTATTTATTGAATGGATTTGTTTAGCATGATTTGGACACAGCTTTTTTCATTTGGTATAGGTTTGGGCAGTCTTAAAAACTACAAATAAAAGTAGCATTCTTGCTAACCTTCATCCTGACAGTGACAGGAAGTCAGGAGTTTATTGAAAAAAATAATTTTAGGTCATTAGTCTTCCCCAAACCCACTTTCTGCTTAGTGTTTTAAGGATATCGAGACTCCATTCTTCAAACCTTGAAAAGTCAGGGAAAGGAAACAGAAACATACCAGGGGAAAATATCCCATCACCATCTTTACTTGACCATCCAACTATCTCTCTCATCTTCTTAAGTGTTATCTGCTCCATGAGGACAAAAACGGGGGCAATTTCATATGTAAACCTGGGAAGGGAGTAAAAAAAAAAAAAGAATGAAAATAAAGAAGTCAAACCAATTATTTGGGGAATAGAGATGTTCAAAACAACTGAAATAATTCAATTCCTGGAAATGTATTAAGTTACCAATCATAAAATGTAGAAACCAGCCTGTATTATGCAGAGAGGTGGTAGAAGTGCCTATTCTTTGATTTCTCATCAACAAATAGATTCTCATCTGAATGGAATGTCTTAGGTGTTGTCCATCCAGAGAAAAAGGAACGAAAATTCACCTCTACAATTGTAGGATGACGCAAATATTAATTACGAAAAAAAGTATTCTAAGTTCTACATAAAATTGATTTGCAACATTTAAAAAAAAAAACCTGACAACTAATTTTATACTTGTGGAATCTATAAAACCCAGAGCCAGTGTCTGTCTTGAAAACAATGTAAACATCTAAAAGCTAACTGTGAAGATAATTGGAAATATTGACCTAGGTTTTAAAGATCTCAATATAATTATCTACATGGTTTTTCTTCTGATAATCCCCAAGGACAGCTTTGGTTCTATAATTCTCTAATGTCAATATCTGTCAAGAATAATTAAAAGTGATGATTTTCTAATTACCAATTATAAATAACAAGAAGATGGTCAACTGGTATACACAGCTAACTCTGGGCATCAGATATCCTAGCAGGTTAGCTTGACTTCTAGCAAGCTGATTTAAAAATAACAAGCCATGCTCTTCTCAAAGCAATTCAAAACAGAGGCACAGTCTAGTGGACGAGTCATTGAAACAAGACCATGGTACTAGGTACAGGGCATAAGAGAAACCAAAGATCGTCCATCCACAGAAAACAAAAAAGATATCTACTGACTCTGAGACTCCTTATCTTTCTTATTTTTGCTTGGTCTTCTTAAGCATTAGTCAGTAGGCTCAGCTCAGACCATGCTCACAGAAGAGAGATGCCTAGATTGACTCAGCCAAGTCATATGGGAAAACTTCATCACTGGTTAGGTGTTTGGGCTGAATGTCAATGCTGAAGACTAGTGGGAACTCTTGTAGGCTTAATGATTTAGAAAAGCTATTTGCAAGGATGAGAAAATAATTATATATAAGACACAGGTGAAATCACTGTAACTTTAATCATGGAGAAAAAAGCAATCAAATTAATCATATGATGGTAGAAGAGGACAAAAATATCCTGGAAGATTGTCAGGATATATCTGTTGGTAGACGGATTTTGTTTCCAAAAACAAATATGTCCACTTTGTTTGGAAGGACCCTTAAAATGTAGGAAGGAGACCCTTGGAAACCATGTGTTAAGTTACCATCACCTCTGGAGGTCACAATCATGCTTTGGTTCTGCTCTGAGCCCCATCACCGTAGCAACCAACACTCCCTCATGTCTGATGGCCTGATAAAGGAAGAAGAAGAGAAGGGTTCCTGGTTTAGCCTGTGCTGTTGAGTGTACCAAGAGGCAAACTCATGATGTGCTTCCATCCGTTCTTGAATATTTGTGTTATATGACTTTTGGGGCACAAAATCTGAACATGTGTGCCACTGATTTTTGGAAACATTGGAATGGCAAAAATATTTGCATGGGAAGAGATAATGGCAGTTTTGTGTGTTGGACTCTTACTACACCAAATGAGAAAAGTCTCCAGGAGAAAGCAAAGGACAAATGGAGAAATACACCATAAAATGGGAACATTATCAAGGATTGGTTGAAAGCTGAGCTGGAGCTAAGTCAGTGTTAGATAACCAAGTAGGAACTACATGGGAGAAGGGAGACAGGGTGGAATTGAAGGCCAGGGGGCTGGTTCTTCGCATGATTTTAATCAATGTAGGGCCCAGGTTTGTATGAATAAGTCCTCCTACCAATGGACAAGGAACATAGCCATGAATCTCAGGATTAGGAAGAAGAGTCTAGAGAGTTTTATCATCTGACCTCAACTATTTCAAATTCTTATCTGTGCCAAATACCTAATTCCTAAACTTTTCTTTCAGTTCCATTCAGCAAATATATTTATTGAAGGACTACTATCTGCCAGTTGGCCTCTTACATACCAAGGAGACAAAGATGTTATAAGGCACCATTTTTAATCTTGAGGAGGAAGCTTACTAGCCTGAATCTACTGCCTGGTTCTTGGCCTTAGTTGCATCCTGTTTGACAGTCCCAGCCTGGATCTGAAAGACCAGTCATCCCACAGTGAGCACCAAGTTTATCATGATGCAGGACCTTAGTCCTGACATCCTCTCCTGGAAACTGATGGATTGGTCATGGCTGTTAATCCTCAGTCAGGCCTGACAAATGCACTAACATGGGGTCTCTGATACCTCTTCTGATGCTGCCTTCCCATCCTTGACCATGTTTACAACTGGGAGTTAGCCTGCATCCAGCACGTACTGAAAGTCTGAAGTTCACCTAGAGTGATGGTTCTTAACTTAATTGGGATCATAGACTCCTTGGGAATCCTAGGAAGCTAGGTCCTTCTCTCCAAGAGAAAAATGAAGATATCTACATCATCTTGTATGTAACTATAGGAGGTTCTCCTCTTGCAGACAGGTTAGGTACCCCTTCCCCAGATGGCAGAGGGAAGCTGATAAACCAGTCGAGATCAAATATGGATTCAGAAGGATCTGGCTAGATGCTAAAGTTAGAATACAAGATAACATTTATGAATCAAAGACCAAAAACTAAGACTGTATAAAACTCAGGACTGAAACATAAGAACAGGTATTAGAAGTAAGGATTTAGAGCAGTAGGATGGCAACATTCATAGTGACACTAATCGGGAGAACTGAGACTTTCTATATTCTGAGTAGGGTAATGAGTCAGCTCTTTTCAGTGATTCAACTCATCTTCTCAGTGGGATTTAGTCTTAACTAAGGCAAATTGATAAGAAGCTGTATTTCTCTTGGGACAGAGTCTGCTAGTTGCTAACCAATATCAATTTTCCCTTGTTTGATTCAATTTTATTTGGAGTTGCAATTCACCTATATCGAAGACTACAGTTTCTAACTTCCCTAGGTGAGGCTGGGGACAAAATTTGGCTTAAGAGATACTACAGAGAATATCATGTAAAGCTTCTGAGATTTCTTAGAAAGAAGGAATGTATCTCCCTTTGCCCTTCCTCCTGTTCTTCTTTACCTCTTTCCCTTCCTTCTTCCTTCTTATCTCTCTTCCTGTCACTCACTCCTTCCCGAGTTCTAGAATGCAGAAGTGATGTCTAGAACTCTAGCAGCTAGTCAGCACTATGAGAGTACTTTGAGGATCAGAGCCAGGGGCTACAGCCTTGGAAAGGCACAAGGAACCTGGATCCTGGGTGACTGCCAAACCGGGGACTTCTTTAGTGAGAAAAATAATCTATGTTGACTGTCTTGACACTAAGATTTCCTCTTCTTACAGACATGGCTGGCGGCCCATCTTCACCTTAAAAGATAATGCACCTGAGGGGAGCTTAGTGAACACCTCTGTGGTCCTGAGATGATGAGCGACAGAAACAAAAGACCCAGAGTGCTGGAGAGAGGGGTCCTGAATGGCACCAGTGACCTGTGGGGTGGCTGCCTTTCCTGAGTGTATGCACTGCACCTTGCATACAATGGACACTTAAGACTAGTCTCTTTTTTCAGTCTTCAGAACCACTCTATAGGATGGACATTATTATCGCCATTTTCCTGAAGAAGAAACTGAGATTCAGAAAAATTCAGTGATTTGCTTTAAAAAGTTAGTGCAGTCCAGAGTCAGATTCCAAGTCCTTCACATCACAGCTGCTTTTCTATGATGAACAAGAACTGCTTCCTGCAGGCTCTTCTCTATCAACCTGCCGAATAGTATAAAGTGACCAATAACTCCCATAGGAAATTTCTCCTGTGTAATTTCTATGCAAATGAAGTGCTAGATACTTGAAATCATAACCTCATAGCAAAGGGCTGTGAGAGATCTTGCCATAAGAGCAGTATTGTTATCAGGTGTGTGAGAATAGGCTGTAGTGGGCGCTGCCTGACCTGCACAGCTGTGTTTGGTGAACCTGTTTTGGAAAAAAAAAATAGGTGCCATGGACAACTACACATTTGTGAAATTTTCTTTGGCTTGTCCCTGGTCCTTGCTTGGAAGAATGTATCTCAAAACTGCATGCACAGGCAGGTGTAAAACCACAAACATAAATGTTCTGACATTCAGATACCTTATATTTTGCACTTCAATTAAGATACTGGATAGTGTTTTTTTTTTTTTTAAAGACTTCTGAGAACTTTGATTATTCTCTATTACCAATGCCTCTCAAATTCAATAAAAGTATAGCTTATCACTAAAGATATCCTACACCACCAAAGAGAGATCGTTTTCCCATTCTTTCCTACACTTATTTTGAACACTGTCCAAGGAGAAGGACCTTCACAAGGGAGTAAATTTATGCATAAACTCCTGACTGTGCGGCCACATTTCATGATCTTGCAGGGGAACTGACTCATAGCAATTTCTAGATAATACTTATTACTTCTTCAGACAATGCCTAGAAGTGACAGGAACTATTTCACTATTTTAAATAACCTTCTCTATCGATCTGCTGCAATCAGATCATATTTTATAAATATCCACTGTTCAGCACAGCTGCAATTACTGTCTGCCATTTAGTTGGACTGGCCTTGACCTCAGATGCTGGGATATATTTTAATGTTTCATAGCTGAGCTGAGGTAAGGGAAGTAAGAGAGTTTGATTTTAAGAACACACAAAAAAGAAGAATTTGTGAGATCTCTCTGATGAAAGAAAAGCCCTTTAGGAGACTCTGGTCATAAATGGTTCCAAGGGGTGAGTTCCTTTCATTTACCCTGAGATTGGGCTATATATATTGGGAGATTGAAACTGTTTGTTTACATACTTAATGATCTGGGTGAATTCAGTGCCTATATTAATATGGGTACTTGGACTTTAATGGACATGTGTCTTACTTTATTGTTTTCACTTATTTTCCAGTGTTTTTTTTTAATTTACTTTGCAACTAAAATTGTTCCTCAGTATGAGATATATTATTGTCTTTTTCCAAGTTATAATTAGTATATTATGCTGTCTATACTTGCTGATACACTTTTATCTCATGAATCATAATACAATAAAGGTTGCAAATGGGGGGCACGATTTGTTTGAGAAGATCATACAAGCAATTGTATCTTTGACCCAAATTCCTCTAGGCCCCTTGAAGTCTCAGTTGGCCAACATGGACACAGTGTGAAATTAACGATGACTTGTAAGCAGGGAGCATGTAAACCATTTTTGCTTTCAATCAATTTAGTCTTCAGTGCCTTTTAGCACTAAAGGCTCCACTTGTCATGCTTAATTTTTTAAATTTGTGTTATTATTTTAAATTAGCAAACCAAGCAAGAATCCTTAATTAATAGAAACTTCTCTGAATGTAGTTAAGGATCCTGAGAGTTCACAGCATTAAGCAGTTTTGGAACATACACAAATCAATATATAATTTTAAAATGCCCATTCAGATTCTGTGACTGGTAGCAATTTAAGAAAAATAGAATACCTTGAACTTTAATAACTTACATTCTACATGTCAAACAGAATTTCTCATTTTAAATCATATCTTCCTTTCAGCTAAATTCATTTTTCAAATCTACATTACCATGAACTTAAAAAGCGGATGACTATTTTAAGTATTTCCACAGTGAATAAAACTATCTAACTCTTATATAATTATTTTTAAATCATTGTGAGACACTTGTTTCATTATTTCCACCTGGACACTTCAATGGAATGTGGGGCCATTGTCTGGGTATATAGATAGTGGAAAAACATAGTGTTGACAGAAAAGAGTTCTCAGCAGGCTATGATGACCCTTCTTCAACTTGATGTCTCCAAAGAAGGCACATGCATGTAGAGGAAGCCATGAGGTGATCAGACTGCTTTAGGTAGAATAAGCATCACCCCCAAAACCCAGGACCTTAAAGTCACTTTCATATTAATATACAACTTAGAAACAAATAGGCTCTGCCTACTCAAACAAGTATGGAAAATTGTCAAATTCAGAAAAAAGTCAGTTGTTTTGATAGAAATAAACAACATTTGACTACTAGCTGAATTTTATTTTGAAACTTTTTGTTAAGCAATAAAATCATCAAATTAGTTTGTGGCTTTATGGTAACATTAATTATAAAGGAAAGTTGACCTAAATGATAAAGACTGATGTATGGATGGGAAAATGAACCAAGATCATACTCTAAAATGACCTCTTAAGATACATTAAAATTTCACAATACATTTTGAATGCTAGAATTATAATTTCTCATGATCATGCTCTTAGAAGTTGCATTATTCAGTTAAAATACAGTTTATCATATCAAGTATCTACAATTAAATCAAATTGTGATAGAACCAAAATGCTTTTAAGAGAAAAGATGATTTGGCCAATTGTTATATATTTATTACAGAACCACTGGAATTGGACTTTTAAAGCAACAAATCATAATCATATAGCATGGATGTGTACATGAAAACAATATGTGGGACTTACATGTTGGTATTGGCTGTTGATGTCAGCCATTCACCAGCTAACCCAATGATATCTAGTCCCGTGGAGAGTTGATTGAAAAATCGAGGATGACCTAGGGAGATGAGCAGCAGGTAAGCATCAAGGCAAATGCAGATTTTTAAAGATATCTTCAAACAAAAGTTTGACCACATTGATGGGTCTTTTACCCCAGTGACCTCTTAATAGGGCTGCCCACAGATATTGGAGAAGGAAGGACAGGTTGACCCATTCTATACCAACCTGTAGTATTAATAATGCCCCCCAAAACTAGGTGTTTCTAAAGCATATATTTCAAATTTTAAAAAATCCAGTGTCATAAAAGTAATAATTTTTCCAGTATTTTATTTGCTGATTCCAGATGAACTCCTCTGTTGCATTTATTTTTAATCATAAATCTGATTGTGGTGGTCCTGATTTTCTCCATAAATCTTTGAGCTTTTAACTTAATATCCCATGAACTTATCCCAAAATCAAGGTTTACTGATGCAGGAAAGGCTACAGACCTCAGAGAGGGTTTGTGTCTCTGTAGACTAAACCATGTTGGGGTAAGTGCCAGTTCTGAAGCCAAAGACTTGCCATCACTCTCTGGGTCTTGGTTTCAAATATACCATCAAGCTGTGGTGTGTTTTGCCCACATATGGTCAGGTGACTGCTAATCTAAACTTATTGCTGATATGATGGGGCATCTCCTCTGTACACATTGGGCAGACACAGCCTCAGTCACTCATTGAGTGAATGATATATATATATATATATATATATATATATATATATATATACTATATATCCATTTGAAATACAAAATATGCTTTAATAGGCTTTGTTCTCATCAAACTCAGGATTGTTGCCAAGTTTTTGCCAACTTGGTGTTCAGAGTAAAACTCAACACCACATCAGCAAGCTTGGCTTGGCTGTCACAAAGCAGTCAATGCAATAGATTATCTATGGGTATGTGACAGAAAAACTAGTGTTAGAAAGATATGCTGACTACTGATTCCAGTGAAAATTGTCTTTGCCTCTGAAATAACCATCAGACATCAGAGAGCTAGTATTTGAATGTTCCTAATCTACCTTCCCTCCCTGAGAATGCCTATTCTTTTCTAGATGTTTTGGGGACACATTCAGAAATTCAAATTGTGACTTCTTATATTAGAATATACCCATCCCTGCATCTCCAAAGTTCTCAAAATATAATACTGATATTTAGAAAAACTGAAAGAATAAAATAGTAAGCTTAGTGTAAGGATGAGGCTAGACTCCACGATCCATGTATATCACTCTAAAGAACTTAAACTAGTTCATTTTACTTTACTTTGTTCAATGCCATCAGAATCTATGGGATCTCCTGCAAATAGAACTAATTTTGTTGCACTCCATTAAAATATTTGCAATACCCATTTGAAAATTTTTAACAACATACATTTCAAGACAATTGAATCATAAATAATCACACTATTTGACAATGTAGCAAAACTACACACAGTGGCAGAAACAAAAGATGGACAAACTAACACTTATGCCCTCAAAGTGAAACCGTAATTATCTTTCCATTAAAATATAAAGGACACAAACTTGCCCAAAACTTTATTTTTATCTTATGGCTATAGCCTTATGGCTCAAAAATCTTATATCAGGGCCTCCCTGGTGGCGCAAGGGGTTAAGCACCACACTATGAAGCAATTCACAGCCTCTGCAGCGTGAGTTCGATCCCCGGCCAGCCAGGGAGATACCCACATGGCGCAACAGACCTCTCCTGACTCACCTGCTGCTCCCCTCAGCAATGTACTTCAGTCAGTCTGTCTGTTCTGTTCCCCACTCTGTCTCTGGTGAATCCTCTCAGCCCCCACACTTCTGGCCTGTACCCCAGCTCTTGTATGCATAAATAAATAAATCTTTTAAAAATAATATCAATTTGTCCAGTAAAAAAAATAGCCAACTTTAAATTTCAATTTCAACTCTTTATATTAAATGAAAATAACAGATGATAGATGTGGTGTTGAGCAACATATAGAATCAGGTAAGGGGAGAAATGAGGTTTTTTTTTTTAAGTATCCCAACAAATAAACTTCAAGGAACAAAAGGAGATGAAACCAGGAATCTACTGATTAAGAGACAGATCAAGCAACTTCAACATGAGGGAGTTATTTGGATCTGGGCTCAAATGAATTGTTACAAAATAAGATAAAACATTCAGGACATTCATGAGACAACTGCAAATTTGGGCAGTGACTGAGTGTTTTATATTAAGGAACAATAAATTTTGTGGTTTTGGTTATAACAATGATATTGCAGTGGTTAAATTTTTTTTAAAGCTCTTGAGGATGAAGAATATCCATGGATGAACAATATTTTCAGGGATCTATTTCTAAATAATATAGAAATCAGGGCAGAGGTTTGGGTACTGGTGAAACAAAATTGGCAGGCATCAATAATAGTTGAATCGTAATAAGGGAGGAAGGAACACAGGGGACTATGGTGATGGTGCACGGGTGAATTGGTGGTGGGCATTCTATGGGGACTACACCTGAGAAAAGAAAGCAAACATTGTTAAAAAATAACAATGATATAACATATAAATAAATAAAAATAAATCCTTAAAATATAAAAACAATTTAAGGCCTCCCAGGTGGTGCAGTGGGTTGAGTGGAGCACTGTGAAGCTGTCTGCAGCCTCTGCAGCACAGGTTCGATTCCCGGTGGGCCAGGGAGATACCCACATGGTGCGGCAGACCTCTCCTGTTGCGCCCACTGCTTCCCTCAGCAGTGTTTTCAGTCCGTCTGCCTGATCTGCTCCCCACTCTGTCTCTGGTGAATCCTCTCACTCTCCCTCACCTCTGGCCTGTACCCCAGTTCTTGAATAAATAAAAATCTTTAAAAAATTTTTTAAAAAGTTTAAAAAAATAATAGTTGAAGCTCAGTGTTTGTTGTCAAGTGTTCACCATACTGTTCTACTTGTATAGGTTTGAAATTTTCCATAATAAAAAGTTTGAACAAAGAAAATCTAAGAAAGTAGAGAGGTCTGATGTGACTGAAGGATGACTGGTCCTGTCTCTGTTCATGAAGACTATTTACACTGGTTCCTTTTTTAGATGTCTTTTGTTAATTTGTAGAGAAATTTCCAAATGTCATCATTCATTTACAGTCTATACCCAGATCAGTATATTTTCACTATTCAAACCCAATTCATTATGTTATCCAAGCATTGATATCAATGAGAAAGTATAAACCGACAAAATAAAAAGCATCGCACCAAAGCAAGCCAAACTAATACATACATGGATAATTTGACTCTTTTTATTCAGTCAAATAACACTACCTTGGATCTCCATCAGAAATAGTTTAGCCACCAGACCAAGGTGAGATGTAACTAAATTGATGAGAGTGCTTTTCTTTACAAACCAAGCACAGACTTTGTAGTATAATTCAGTCTTCTCCATCTCAGTTATTCAAGGAAGCTTCACTTATCTTAGCAGTGCAAGCAGACCACAAAAGCTGTTTGGGATTCCTTATTTAAGAATGCTTCTTTGGCCAGCCTCATTCTTTCATTATAATATTTTACTTTATTCAGCTCTATCACTACAACCTCCCTGGTCTTGGCCTTAAACCTATCCTCAAATGACTAAGAAGACTGATCAGCAAAATAAATGAGAGGGAGAGTGATAAAAGAAAAATGGGGCTACCAGTTGTCTTCAGGGGCTCCCCTGTGGTGGAAGTTGCCATGAACTGCCCATTCCTACAGATCTGTCTGCTTAAGGAAAGATAGGCTAGAGTAGGGAATGATAGGTGGGAGGGGGGAAAATGTTTCACTCCTAGACTTAGAAACAGCTAGACAGATTCAAAAAGTCCTTGAATGTGAGGCAATTGGAAAGTTTCCACTTTGGCCAGAATTGCTGATTAGAGAGACATGAAAAGGAGGCAGGACACCATCCTCAAGGGCTCCATATTGGAAATAGGATTCAGTGAGTCAGAGTGTCTAAACTGCAGAGGTTGAGGGGAGGGGGGGAGAGAGAGAGACAGACAGACAGACAGACAGACAGACAGACAGATAAACTGTTAGGCTTTGCCGGTAGAAGATGTTGTGGGTGGGTCCTAGTCCAAAGACTAATATGCTTTATAAGAAGAGAGAAATTTGGGTACACATCCATGGAGAATACCAGTGGAGGTGAAGGCAAAGATGGGAGTGAAGCATCTACAAGCCAAGAATGCAGAGGAATGCCCACAGCCACCAGACGCTGAAGAGGCAAGGATGGACACTCCCCAAGAGTCTTCAAAGAGAGCATAGCCCTGCAGACACCTTGATTTCAAACTTCAAACCTCCAGAACTATCAGATAATATATTTATGTTGTTTTAAGTCATGGTAATTTGTTACAGAGGCTCTAGAAAACTAATACAGACAGGGAGGGAAATGGGCCTGATTCTTCTTAGTGTCCCCGTTAAGCAAGAGTAGGATTTATCAGAATGAAATGGGTATGACAAGAAGTAGGGACTGGGTCATCCTGCTCCTTTTAGGTGGTGAATAGTCAAAAACCATGAATGAAAACTCTTTATATAACTTGACATAGCATCTTGTAGCTATATTTTTTAAATCTACTTTTCCAATAATATGTGGTGATTAACTTTTGCCAGTCTTGGAGTCTTTCACCAACTGTTACTACCCCTTTGAGGTCATTCTATGGTCATTGAGCACTGTGCTGCCTTCCTTCACCTCAGTGTCTGTTTCTCCTTAAACATGGCATTCTCATGATTGGCAAGGCTGGGCAAGGTTGCCACTGCATGCCCACCTGGCTCTCATGCTTACCTGTGCGGACCCCATACTTCAGGGTGTCTCTGCAGTCAACCAGGATCTGCTCCAGAGACTCAGGGTGGTCAGAGAGCTCCAAGTTAAAGCCCTCCATGCCTTCCAGAAGCTGGTGTGGGTGATGGAAGTCCAGCACCTTGGTGGAGCGATCGAATGTCTTGCGGACATAGTTGAGGAGAATGTCCACCACTTCCAGTAAGAACTGTACGGTCTGCTCCTCCCCATTCTTAGCTGGAAGCAGATCTGAGGGGGAAAAGCCAACAAGCGGTTATCACCTTACTCATATCTGAACTTTCTCAGTCCAGAAACGACTGCTATGAGCCATGGTATTTTTACAGGCATAATTTCATTCCAGGGTATATACATGCATAGAGAATCTGATAAATGAATTGCACAGGAAAATGCACATATGCATATACACAGAAGTTTCACATACACTTTCTGGAGACTAACAGATTTTCTGATAATTTGACCACTTGTGAATGGAATGGAGTGCTTTGAGAAACTATGACTAGAAGCTATATTGATGCCATTGCCATTGTCCATTTGCAGGCTGACTGGGCACTCTGGTACCAAGTGTGTCTCTGTTACAGGTTTTCGGTTTGGCACCTTGATGTATTTGATCTGTCCAGGCAGAGGGTAAGGCCTCTCTGGGCAGAGGTTGAGGTCCACTCTGAAGAATCTGGAAGATGGGGCTCTCTCTGATTCTTTTGGGCTGGACTTTGTGATGTCTGGTGGAGACTGTGGGTCTCAGTGTCTGTTAGGCAGTCAGGCTAGGGGGGTTAGCAAGGGAGGTGAGCTCTAGGTGGCTCCAGTAGAAGCTGTCACCCATGACTCAAGAGGGCAGACTGGCTGGACATGATGCTCTTATCTATGCCCTGGATTATTTTTTTTTTAAAGATTGATTGATTGATTGATTGATTCGTTTGTTCATTCATTCATTCAAGCAAGCACTGGGTACAGTCAGAAGCGCCGGAGGGTGAGAGAATTCACCAGAGCCAGAGCGGGGAGCAGAGCAGGCAGAAAGACTGAAGTACACTGCTGAGGGGAGCAGCAGGTGGCAGGAGAGGTCTGCGCACCATGTGGGACCCTCCTCCGGTGTGGCCGGGGAGCAGCCGGGGATCAAACCGGCGCTGCAGATGCTGCAGGCAGCTTCGCAAACCAGGGCTCAACCGCTGCGCCACCGGGGAGGCCCTATGCCCTGGATTATTTCTGAGTTTCAGTGAAGTCTTGTTTACTGGCCTCCATGGTCTACGGGGTGTTCATGACCATGGGTGGTGGTGGGTTTACCTTCAAGCTGTTTGGAAGAGACTGGTAAAGAGCCAGTGTTTTACCACTGTTTTTGAGGACAGGAGTAATTAGTGAAAAATCTCCAAAAAAGAAAATGTGTTTCAAGACAGCACTTGGGTAAGAGTTCAGGGGGAGTCTGTTTCTGTTGCCAACCTTGGAGGATAAATGGTACAAAGGGACTCACTAAATTTCCTTATATATAAAATTCCTTCAGAATCTCAGAATGATTCTAAGGATCCATATTGCCCCTGCAAGTGTCTTTAAAGTTACTGACTGCTCTCATTCAGCTTCCAAAATGATGGAGACAATGGTAGCAGGGAAGGAGTATAGTATATTCAAGTGTTGGAAAAAGGATTTGCATGATGGTTCAGAGGGAGTAATGACATTTTTTGGTAAATGAAGCTTTCAGTAAAGAGTCAAGAAACTCAAATAAGGGATGCTGGATAGCACTAGGCCTGGGCTGGAGGAGGGAAATATCTACCTCGAGCAAATAGATTGGAGAAATCTGTCTCGGTTCGCCGGAAGCGGCCATCCCTGTCACTGTTTTCACAGGAAAGCAGGTTCTTGGAAGACTGCCTCTCCTTGAAAGCACTCACAAGCCGGCTCTTCTCTTCCAGGCTGTTGGTCCTTTGCAAGAAGCCTGCAGCACAAGAAGCAGGGTCAGAGAGAGTGCGCTGAACTGCCCAGCCTTGGAGGCTCAGCAGCTGGGCCAGGTAACTCTCCAAGCAGTGTGCTCATTTCTCCTGAAAAGAACCCTAGTGTCTGCCTCTTATATATAAGACCGCTGGCACTGCTGGCCTTCAGGCAGGAGGGGGCGCTGCCAGGTGTCATCAGTGACACAGACCCAGCCATGCAAGAGAGAAAAACTATAAGTGATGCCCATTCTCCTCTCTGAACATTACAGTGAATTCGGATTTAAGTCAATTGGACAGATTCCACTCCAGTGACCAGCCCCAGGATGGGGTTTTGAGGGAAGAAACACAATCAGAGAGGATGCTGCCAGCATTGGGTCTATGGATTATGCAGCCAGAGAGAGGAGGGAGTGAGCACCACCAGAGGGAGGAGGGATGAGGACCCCAAAGGGAGGAGGAGTGGGGATCAGCAATGGAGATCAGGGAAGATGCTTTCATAGGGCACCAAGTAATGCTCACAGGGTTAAATATAAGTATAGTTTTTCTGATCCAAACCTGAAGTGCAACTTTCCCTGTCCTTGAATAAAGGTACTGGGGAAAGAGAAAAGAAAGTTTAAAATCTTATGTGTGGTGACATGTAATTCTTTAAATTCTTATTGGGAATCTATTGTGGACAAGCACTTTGCCAAGCATTTAGGACAGGGGACAAATAAATGAAACATATCCCTTCCCTTCTAGGAGCTTATAGGTAGTAACTGATGTAATGACAGTAGAGCATCATCCATGAACTTCACAGAAATTTACTCTGAGCCCAAGTAGGATCCAAAGAGCCTCACCTCTGCCTTTGTGAAGGACTGGACTCCTCTCCTGCCTGAGGTGAGCAGTGCAAACACCAGCAGCAGCAGATGGAAGCAGCCTGAGCCAAAAGGGCTGAAGACTGCTCCCTTGGTGACCTGGGGCCTAGGCTCTGCAGATCTGCTCCCTCCCTCAGCAGCCCCTCTACTTTGGCCTATTTTCACCTGAAAGGCAACACTAAAAAGAGAATTTGAAGTTTCTTGGTGACCCCAAAGCTGTCTGTGTAGATACAAAATTCCTTGGGGAGTTACAACTCACAAGGCAGGCTTGGAAGGAAGTCCCAGGAGTTTCAAGAAAAGGCAAGTTAATCTGGGGAATTCAGCTTTCCTTCCCCAGGTCTGCAATTGAATGGAGAGAAGGAGGGATACTGGGGGAAGGCTGCAGTGATTAGAATCCTCCCACACACAGGAGCAAGGTCTATTTTGGGAGGGAAGAATGGGGAGGCAGAGGTACCAGGCCCTTCATTGTTCCCAGGACCTTTGAAACTCTTAGGCCCTGAAGGACATCAGAAGCGGGGAATACACTCTAACAGAGCTCCACAGTTGAACAGGAAGATGAGGGTGTATTGTCTCCCTCAGCTCTTCTACTTTCTGGTCTCCTCTTTCACATTCCCAGAGTTCAAAACCAGGAACCAGAGGAATGCAGATCATCTGGCCCCTGAATTGATATTTCTCCCCTCCTCCCTGAACAGAGCTATGGAATTGCCCAGCCTGAGAAGACCAAGTTCCTGTGGCCTAATGGAGGTGAGCACGTGGTGCCCAGCTGAACTCTTATTCTCTGGGTCTCTGACCTCTGGTTGGTGATGACTCACTCCCCAGGGAACTTGATCTCTCTGCCACGAGACCCCTTAGAAATGCCTTTCCTCTGGGCACCTGCCTGCCTTAGAATTTCCTTTTAGACTGTGGGGGTTATTTCCAAAGGATATCTTAACAGGCTTTCCTAGAAGATATCTGATGGGTTGAGAGATAACAATTGTGACCTTAACCCTGCATCCCATTCCTGGACCATATTTCCTGTAGTCATGGGAATTCGTATTTTCTATAAATCCTAGAATTATCTCAGGAGCAGCACATTTACATTTTATTATTTGTGTTAAAGCCATTAATTTGCTAATATAAACATCTAATGTCTGTAATATGACATCTAGTTGTTATTGGAATAGCAATTTTTTGGAAGCTATTTGCTTCCTAAAATATTGGGAGCCTCAAGAATAGGGAAATGCCCCATGACCCAGGGTCACTGGGCTCTGAGAGGCCCAGAAGGAACTGTGTACTTCTGCAAGGAGGGCCAGGTGGTGGATGACCCTGAGGTCAGTGCTTCAACAACCTCCCTGGTGAGCAATGGGTCCTGGAAGAGGAGTCCCCAGGCTGAGTCAGACTATTCTCCCTCTTGCTCTGCACCCCAGCTGTGAGTACTGAGCTCAAACCTGTGATTAAATGGTAATCAAGCCCAATGTTCTTAAGAGGCTTAGGGGAAAAAAAGAGGAGCGTTGAAGTCACAGCTGGCTTTGGTCTGGCGGTGGCACTCGGGCAGATAGGTGATGGGAGGCAAGGGGGATATTAGGAGGCAAGCCCTGCTTTGGCTGTACCTCTGCGCAGAGGGTAGCTCTTACTGCTGGTTCCTCACAGCTGCCCCCAAACTCAAAGACCTAGGGTGCCCAGTGAGTGGGGAGGTGTGTGGGAAACTAGAGAGCACCCAGATTGAGCCAATTATTTCCAAGTGGCTGCAGACTGCAGTGGTGTAAGGGCACACAGCTAAGGGGTAAATGGAGTTCAAACCCTAAGCCCCTGCTCTTGCTCACCAAGATGTGGCATAGAATTGCATCTACTTACAGAAGGATGCTTTTTTATTTTTATTTGCTAATAGTACCCTACCAGATCTGTACCCCTACCCCTTTTAAGCCAGATACAGAATATTTGAAGTTTCTCTGTTTTTAAAAGTTAGCAATGGACACAATATTAAACACATACAAATATATACACATACACTGTGCGAGCTAAGTAAAACAACTCAGGGGCTGTAAGTGGCAACCTGTTTAGGATCTCTGCAAAGATAAGTGATGGAGGCCCAAGGATAGACTGGGAAGTTAGCAGAGCCCGGACCAGAACTTAGGGCTCCCCCTGCACTTTCTCTCTTTGGGTAATGCCACCATGCCTGCAACCACCGGCTCTCTGCTTCTTGGCAAGACTCTAGGTTTCTTCTAGCTGATTCTGTTCCTGGGGGATTCTGCCTCCAGGGATAAGGGTACCACTGGTAAGACCCAAGCCCTTCTTTGTGGCTTCATTCCCTGGCTTACCTAGAAAGGGTCGGAATGTGAAGGGGGTGCTTTAATTTTGACAAGGCAGTGAAGGTGCTTATGGGGAGTCTCACAGGACAATAAATTGGGACGTTGGAAGATGATCATTGGTCTCTTGGCTGTCTTAAGGTGAAAGGTCACACTAATCTGGATGCTGACAGGTCAAGATGGCAACCCTCCAGGCCCATGGAGGTCTAGGATGAAGGGAGTGGGGGTGTCAGTATATAGGTGGGGCAGACTGTGGATCCAGGGTCAAAACCCAACACTACATTCTGTCTCTACTAAATTAAAATGAAAAGCCTGACTGGTCCAAAGTATAAAGATAAATCCTCCAGGTTTTTTGTTTCAGAATCCAACCAGATGCAGCCTCCTAAGCTGTGACCCTCAAAGTAATGCATTTTAGTTGAGGGTAATTTCCCCTCCACGGACTACCAGTCCTTTCCTATCATAGAGGTTGCAACTGACCCAAAATTAGGTTCTAGGAGGGGAGGAGGAGATGAAATTCTGCGAGCAAGGAAGCTCTCCAAACGCAAGAGCTTTTCCTCACTGTTTCGGCCCGCAGTGGAGGAGGGGTTGCCACTAACCCGGGGACCCTTAAACTCAACCCCTTCCTGCCCCTTAACCAGTTGGGAACATTTCGGTGTGTACCCCCGAGGGGCACTTTGACGTTTTTCTTCCCGCGGGCTGGAAGGGCCAGCAGTCAGGGCAGCAGGGGACACTGTCCGGGGCTCGGGATCAGGAGGCTGGGGTGGGGGTGGATGAAGGGTGCCCCCCAGGTCGACCCCAAACCTCTAGGAAGGCAGCTCTCACCCAAGCCTCCCCTGCACCCCCACCTTGTCCTCCGCCGCGGTGGGCGTCCAAAGCTCACCCGTTCTGCTTGCCGGGTTGCATGACAATAACGGCTGCAGAAGCCGAGCTCGGCGGCCGCCGAAGGGACCCGGCGCGAAACGGGCCATTAAGTCGAGAATGGCGGCGCTGGGCGGGGGCTATTTATAGAACAATGCTCGGCTGCTGCCAGCTGCCCCGCGCGGGCACGCGCTCCGGCCTTGGCCCGCGGGCCTCGCGTGCTGGGGCGAGGGCCAAAGCCCGGGCCGCCCGCCGCTGGGCTGGGCTTCCCCAGGTCCAGCTGTTGAGAAACGCGTCCGCACCCCAAGTGCTGCTTCTGGGATCAAGGGGACAGAGCCCCAGAAATGCAGGGAGGGGGCCGCGTGTGTAAGCCGGGAAGGGACCCAGAATCTACTAAATATCCCCTTCGCCTTGGCCCCAAACTGCCGCCGCCATCGAGTCCCGGAGCTGGAAGATCAGCCCCGAGCGCCCCGGGGCCCACCCGGCGAGCGCGCCCCGCAGGGCTCCGCCGCTATCGCCCCCGCGCAGCAGCTGACCCGCCGCTAGTTAATAAGCCCCTCGTTAATCTTCCCCCGCCTCTCCGCCCGCGGCCCCCACGTCGGTAAACTGGTCAACCCGATAAAGCTGGAGATTTCAGACGCTGAAACGCAGCAAGGAAAGCAAGTCCTCATGGTTCAACCGAGGCACTCAGCTGTGTCCCCTCAAATTTTTTTTTCTAAAAAAAAAAATCCCTCAGGATTTTTCATTTCAGACCCTCGCGTCGCCAGAGAGCAGTTCTCTCCAGCTCCCAGATCTATTTTCCTTCCCCTGTGGTAAGTGCTGCCCGACACCCTCTGCCCAGGGGCTCCGCACCCCGCGCGCGCGCCTTCCCTTGGCGCTTCCCGGTCAAGGGCACGCTCGCCGCACGCGGGCCTGTGCCGCTGGCGCCTCTCCCGGGGAGGCCCCCCGAGGGCCGCAGGCAATCCTTTCTTTTGGCCTTCGACGCCCCAAAGAACGAAATCTGAACCTGCTATGACATCTCGGAGCAAAAATCTCAAACCCGGGAGGCTACTTTCACCGTAGAGAGGACGGGGCGCCTCGGTGCCAGCCCTCGCCACAGGGAGAAGACACGGGGTTTCAGGCCTGCTCTCCAGGGAAGTCGCCACAGTTCACCTTTGCTGCTCTAAGTTGGAACCCTCAGGCAAAGCGGACCCCAGTAAAAGCGAGGAGAGTGTTGCTGTCCCGGTCGGAGAAAGGGGGTGTTCTATCTTCCGGTTCTCCTGCCCAGACCCGGGCCCTAAGATTTTAGGCTGTGGGGGACTCCAGCAATAAAGGTCTCTCGGGGCGGACAGGGATAGGGCGGGGGAGCGTAGAGGCCTGTAGAAGAGCGTCTCCGCCTGGCGTCGAACTGTAGGTACATTACAAAACCAAACCCAAGAGCCAAAAATCTTCCAATTTCGTCCAGTTCTCCCAACCCAGCAAAGCCTGCACGCCATACGGTCCTGCAGGGCCACAGCGGACCCTTTCACTTACCGCAAATCTTGAGCCCCAGTTTTCTGGTGCATCCATGGGCCACGCCGCACCAGGTGTCATAAGCTAAAAAGCAAGAGAAGGGCGATCAGTGAGGCTCAGACTGGAGGGGATTGAGTCGAGGGCAATGGTTCTCTGTGGATGGGGGACTCTTCAATTTACCATAGAAGAGGGCATTCTCCAATGCTCCCTATTCGAAGCTCTTTCCTGAAAGGGGCAAGGAGGCAGGCCGGTGGCCAATGAGCAGATTCCTGCCCTTGAAACATCCAACACACTCCCTGCTCCCACCTTCGGGTGCAGAATGAAGTCTTTGAGACTGAAGCCCTTTGCCAGGCTCCCAAGAGACCCCGCACTTCACCCGAGGAATGAGACAGCGCTGACCCCAAGTACAAAGAGCCAGGTTCCCCCCTCCAGTTCCCTGCCAGGCGCTATCCCTTGGTCTTTACACCCTGCCCCCACCCCCAGACTCGAAGGGCAACCACAGCAGCCCTGAGAGGGAATGAAAGGGAACACAGAGGCATCTGGGACTGAAACGTCTCATAATTTCTTGGCGGGTCTCCAGTCAAGTGGCAGCTTAAAATAAACTGGCATGAAATGGGGTCGCGGAAGAGTTCAGGAATTAATTGGGTGAAAAATAGTATTTAACTGGATGATCTGGCTCGCATGGCTGCTCTTCAGGCGGTCGGGAGTCGGAAGACAATAGTGTGCCTCCCAGTCCAGATTCCCAGCCCCTTTTTCCCAACCTGCCCCTCATTAACCCTTCTCTCTGACATCTTGGTTCTAGAAAGAAGAGGTGGAGTGTCAAGCACCTTTAATCTGGGTCTGATCAGCAGACCCCAGGTGCGGTGTTTCCTTCTTTACCAGGGTGTTCTCAAACTATTCCTTTGGGGTTCTATTCCCTGCACAGAGCGCAAAAACTGCTGGAGGAGCCCGCGTGGAGCTGGTTTGGTGGGCCCAGTGCGAAATTCCCTTCGAATCCATCAAAGCAAGGGTCCTCCAATCACTCCCTCCCCAGCCCCACCCCACCCCACCCGGGCCACAGCGCCTTTATTTCCCGGTGAGTGTTGACTGCGATAAGGAGAGTGACATCCATTAAACCTCAGGCACAACAGAAGCCTCAGCGGGAAGAAGAAATAGCCCGACGACGTCAGTGACACAGCCTGTCACAGATGCAGTTCCTGTGACAGACAGGAAATTCGTGTAAAAGCAAAACCCTAATAATAATACCTGGTGGGTATAGAGCTATTTCTTCCTGATAAGGTGCTTTCACTTTAAATATCATTTCAGCTAATCTTCACAAAAATCCTATGAAACAAGAGTGCTAATTAGACTCAATTTTACAAATAAAATCATTGAGGCTCAGAAAGATTAAGCAACTTTTCCAGGGTCACTCAGCTGAAGCCTTTGAGTTCAGACCCATTGCACTGCCTCTGAAAGTTGGGTTTGCAGTGAAAGCTAGGACAGAGGGGACACAGTGGCCAAGGGCAGAGACAGGGGGTGGCTCCAGCATGAATCCTAGAAAGGTTCAGCGGATTGAACCAGGCTGCCTCCATAAGACCTTGGAAGGACAGGGAAGCTGAGCCAACTGGGCAGGCGAGGGGCGAGGGTGTGTCTGCAAGCGAGGGTGAGAGCTGGTAGAGAGCCCGGCGTTCGCTAGCAGCCAGGCTTGCAGACAGCGCAGCTGGGCTCTTGGGGGCGGGCGGCAGTGTTCTTGGGACAGGTGCAAGCTCTTCCTAGGCCGGGTCCTGGCGGCTTCTGAGCGCGCCAGGTTGTGAGAGAACTGTGGCCAGCGCCGCTACATATCTCCGCACCCGCCTTGCGCTCCTCCGCCGCTACTGCCGGGAAGTACTAACGCGGCTGGCGGTGGGGGGAGTAGGAGAGAGCAGGACTGAAGGATGGGTGAACACAACGGCCGCCCCGGCCCATCAAACAGCAAAAATGGGGCGGGAAATGTGGAGAGGACTGGAAAATAAATCCATCATGGCCAGAGCATCAGACAAAGGCCCGCAGGCCTCGCATTCCTGCCGGCCTGTTCCGGCCAGCTCCGCTGCCAGTGCCCGCTCACGTGCCACCAAGGCTGGCGGCTCTCCCCAAGCCCTCTTTGTTGTGTGGGTAACAGTAGCTCGCCCGGGAGAAGGGGGGAAGGGAGGGAGTTGCAAAGGGAATGGAACGTAGCTTAAGGACTAAAGACCAGGACTCCGGCTAGGGAGCCAGTGGCCGGCCAAGGGGTTGACAGAGACCCACTCCCACCTTTGTTAATGGAAACAATTACCCTTTTTTCAAGCTTATAGAAAAGTGCCATGAAAGTGCAGCAATTAGTCCTCCTCCGAACCATACTGCTAACCCCTAAGCCCAGAAATCCTGGGGCCATCCATCTGGGACGGAAAGATTTTTGGGGAGCAGGGTAAAAGGAGACATTTCAATCCAAATTGGAAAAAGAAAGAAAGAAAGAAAAACCCCAACAACACCCAGGCCTCTACTACAGAAAGGTGCAAAATCAACCTGAATTAAAAACATTCTAGAAATGGGTTGAGCTAGTGGTGGGGAAGTGTAAATGCCCCCCCCCTCTTTCACCAGGTACCTCCTTTCTTCTAGACGTGTAAATTGCTCACAGGTCACCTGCCAGGGAGAAAGGAAAGGGGTGTTTTCCCTCTGCCCTCGCAAATCTCCTTGCCCCTTTCTGATTCTCCACCTCTCGCCACCACTCAGAACGCTGCCCGCTCTTTTCTTTTTCTTTTTTTTTTTTCGGGGGGGGGAGGCTCTGAGATGTAATTAATTGTCTGAAATGTCGAGAGTCAGCCTCAAACCGTTTTGCGCACCTTTTCTCGCCCTTGACGTCTCCCTTGCTGTCAATAGCTCGATGCAAATTTGGAGCAATTAGGGACCCCGAGTTTTCTAAAAGCTGCAATTAACGTCGAAATTTCCGCTGATTATAGACTTCCAGCACAGCACAGGGGGGGAAGAGGAGGGGATCAAATCTCGGCTTAACGAAAGCGGGAGACAGAAAACTCTGTTTCCGCTCGCCGTGCTGGCCCCTCCTGGCTCTTCACACTGCCCCTGCCCTGACGCCCGCTGTCCCACCTAGCGAAGAAACCACACACAACAAACAAAAACAACACTCTTGACGCCCGTACCTCCCCCCATCCTCACAGCGAAGCCCCCAAAGATGACCGCCGCTCTGACTCTGCGTGGTTCTCACTCTCCTGCGCTCCGGAATCGCTTAGCATCGCTGGATCGAACGACCTCTGGCCCAGACGTGGGTCAGAGCCCCATTTCTTTCCATCCCCCATCATCGCCGCGCTCCCCCTCCCCAGCGCAGCCTTTGCGCGGCCCAGCGCCCCCAGTTCATTTCATGAAATCCTCCCGCAGTGCATTTCATAAGAAATTGGGGCAAGACCTACTTGTGGGGCGCAGGTTGCTGGTATTGGGGTCTGCTCCTGCATTCGAGGAGGCTGCGGAAGAAGAAGGGGTCGAAGACGCCATCAGCTCGGTCGTCCCGGGGCCTTTAGTGTTAGGGGTCTTCCTTCGGTTGTGTGCACCAACGGGCTGCAAAGAGATGCGAGAGCTGTGGTGGGGAAGGCTTCCCCGTCAGAGGTGCTGAGCGACCTGGGGCGCAGCCGCTCCCCTGAAGTCCCAACTAGGGAGAGAAAGACAGGAGCAAGGGCAGCTCGCGGGCTGAATCGGGGTGCGCCAAGGGAGAGGGAGACGTGCGCGCGAGCTGGGGAACTCGAGCGCAGTTAACGTAGCCCCGCGCGACTCTCCAGTCTGACCACGCAGCTGGCAGACCTGGAGCGGAGCGGAGCCGAGACTAGGGTGCTAAGGCTAGTGCAGGACGCGCGGTTGCCGGGGGCTGGGTGAGAGGGGTAAGGGAGGCTCAGTGTGAGATTTTCCAGTCGAGCCACGATAAGCCCCATTGGGCTCTCAGCAGCCGCGGGCAAGCGGGGGGCGGGGAGGGAGGGAGGGTGCACCGGGCGGGCACGTCTGGTTCGGTGTCTGGTTCCTGTTGTTGTGTCTAGCCAGTTCCCTGGAAAGAAGGCTAACTGCTCCGGGGACCTGGGACAGAGGTGAGAGACGAGGTGAGCAGCGGGCGGGGACCAGGATGGAGGGGCGGTAGGGGTCTATGTCTTTCCGCTCTCCTTCGTACTTGGCGGGGGAAGAACTAGTCACCTTATGCTCCAGACAGCCAGAAAGCAGTGGGTCAGAACCTTCCTTGCTTCGCTCCTGTCCCACCCAGCTTTGGCCGCCTCGGAGCCTAACTGGAGGATCTGTCCAGGTTTCTGTTTCTCCTCCACTCAATTTCCGAAGACCCCGGATTCCTACTCGTTAGGACCCAGAGAGGGTGAGGGACGCAAAAAAGAGGAATGTCACCGCGGCAACGGATTTGCGCCCAGCGCTGGAAAGCCAGCGAACAAGGGGTGCGCAGCGCCCCTGCTCCGTGCTTGACGATGTGCGATAGCGCACCAAGGCCCCGGGATAGATAAGCGTGCGAGCAAATCTGGATAGATCTAAGACCCCGCAGAATAGCGTCCCTGGTCACCGCCTCCATCACCTCCCCAGGAGCCCGCAGCTAGTCCCGCGCGCACTCCCACAGCAACGCAGGCAGCGGGTCCACCGCAGCTTCTGGGGAAGTAACAGGTTACTGCTCGAGTCGCGCCTTTGGCTGCAGCTGCCCACGGGCTCTTTGGTGAGCCCGGCTCTTACAGCCGGAAAGCTGAGGGGAAATTGTCCTAATTCCACTTTTGCGCTAGCCTTAGCCTCTGTGCATCCCCGGGTCGTGAATCTCGCTGGTGGGGACAGGATGGGTGCTAAGGTGGACGTCTCTAAGCCGCGCACCAAGAGAGCCAGGACAGAAGCGGGTGGACGCACTCTGCTCCGGAGGGTAGAAAGCAGTCGCCGGGAGTGAGGGCTGGCAGAGGAACCGCGTGTAAAAAGGACCCAGCTGCACCGCAGAGTCTGAGCGCTGGGATGTCCCGGCGGCCGTGCGTTTACCCACCTCGGCTCGGCGACAATAAATCTGGCGCTCCAGCTGCTTTTCTGCGCAGCGCCCAGCGATCGGCTCGGCTCGGCCCGGCCCCTACACAGGCGTTGTCTTCTCGGCGTCACCTCCAGCTGCTGCGCCGTCCGGCACGCGAGCGCCAGAAGGAGAAGAGAGCGATCTGGAGAGGCTGCTGCTCTGCTTCGGGGGAGGCGGGGGCGGAGTGGGGAGGCGGGGACCTGCTCGGTGGGGGAATCACGAGGCCGCAGCTCGCGGGGGCAGTTTGTCGGCAGAGCGGCGGGTCTCCTTTGCAGGTGCTTGAATGCCTCTGGAGCTTGATAGGGCGATTATAAATCCAGATCACGGTTTTGTGTCTGGGGGAAAAAAAATCCCTGTGAGTAATCCAGAACGTACTCAACATGATCTATTTTTTTTTTTAAGAGGCAGGGTGTCTGTTAAAACGAGGGTTAAGAGAATTCCTAAGAAGAGTTTTGCCTAGCCGAGCGCTTCTTCCTCCTGCCCCCCCCCCGCCCCCATCCCGCCTCCCATATCTTTAACAAGACTGGAGCGATGGCTTTGCCTCGATTTCTTTCGCGTCTGTTCCCCCAGATCTGCGACCTTCCTTTAGTGGAAGTGCGCTCTGGGCCGCGTCTTCACTGGCTCTCTACTGAGTCAGGATTGTTGCAAAAGCAAAAGGAGGCAGATAAGAGGGAGGAACACTAAGACCCTGAAGAAATCTCCATCTCACTTTAGTTTTCTTATCTAGCTTGGGGTCTTCCAAAGCACATCATCTGAGCATAGTTAACCAGTTCCACCGGCAGAGAAAAGGTTCCTGCTCCCTATCCACTATGCATTCTCTTCTGGCTTTGGTCCCCTTGGTGATAGGGAAAGAAGTCCTCCTGATTGATCACATTTGAAGGTTAATAACACGCTCGAGCGCCGCTCCACCCAAGCACAGAGGTGGCCCGGGGGAAAGGAGGCCTGCCCCCTTCCTGCCCTGGTCCACGCCCCTCACTCCCTCTTTGACTTAACATTTATTAAGGATTCTCCCTTAGCTGTATTTAAGCATATTTACTGAATTGCCGCGTTCGAATTACTGCTGCGAAAAAAAGAAAAAAGAAAGAAACGCGTCCGCATAAAATTTTCCACCAGAGGGCGCCAGGCTCCCAGAGACCGAGAGGTCCTTCGCCTGCCAGGTTTTTCTTTGCGCGCCGGCTCCAACACCTGGAATGACTGGCCAGGCTCAATTACTTTCTTTCTCTAAAATTCATCCTTCACCCACCCTCGTCACTAATTTATGTCCTCTCTCTCTTCTACCTCAGTTTCTTTTTTTTCTTTAAAGCCAACCAAAGTTGATCTTTGTGGGTGTGTGTGGGTGACACAGCGTAACCAGTGATTACTCGTTTCACAGTGACATTTTTCCTTTGCGGAGCAGCAGGCGGGGATTATTTATGGACACGTCTGAGGCCTTACTGGTTCACTGGAGGCGCGTTCCTTTTCTCTGATGTCTTATCACCTTTTACCACAACACAGTGGGAGTAACAGAAAACTTAAAATTCACCGAGAATTCTTTAAGGAAGATGAAAATTCCTTCTCTGAAAAAATAGTTTGATCAGTGAGAGGAATTTCGGCGTGAGATTTGAAATAACCGCGTTGCCCTTGATACTAAAGAAAATGCTGTCCTCCCTCTCCCCAACTTACAATAAAAGCTCGAACACTTTTTAAGGGCACTAAAGCATCTGGAATGGCGGGCTTGCACATCCAGCTGCTTTAATTGAGGACTGGATGGGGTGGGCGTGCCTACTCCGCTCAGGAAATGTCCCTTCAAACCTCACAGGGCGCAGCTTCTCCCAGACGCTTGAAATGCTCCGCTTACTAACAGATGAGGTTCAGAATTCCACTCACGCCCCCTACTTCAGTCTCCCTAAAAGAGATGGTTGCACCGATCAGGGAACCCCTCACCAGGGTCAATGCTTTAATTTAAGATGTGCGGCCAAGGAGACCCGGAAAGGAGGCAGCAAATCCCGGTGCCCTCTGGGCACCCAAGAAAACAACCACCAGTTCCAAGAAAACAACCACCGGCCCCCTAACCTTCTCCCAAGAATCGGTTCCCAGAGAAGGGAGATTCCTTTGCCTACACCTGTGGCATCAGACTGAGAAATAGCCAACCAATTCCTCTTTTGACCCTAGTGTTCAAAACGTTCATCCCTTACATTTTGGTCAAGAAAACAATCTCGTGGGAAAAGAAATCTACAAGACTAGGTATCGCAAATCAAAGCTGAGTCTGCCCAGCTTCCAGGACATTCATCTCTTTCTCCTTGGTGGAGGGGAAGGGAAGAAATGAAATCTCCTGGAATTGTGAATATTTAAATATTAGTAATCAATTAAACTAATATCTATTTATCACCTACTATGAGCTAGGCATTGTTCTCACAGAGCTCACATCGACTTAGCAATTTAAATATGTCATCCCTGCACTCATGGAGTTGACATTTTAGTTAGGTGGAAGTGAATTACAGATTTGGGGCTTAATGGCTTTGATTTAATTTCCCAGTATCTCCCACTTTAACCTAGCCTCTTAGGCTCAGTAGCAAAGGTAAGGAATTTAGGGCCTGGAATTCCACACAGCTCCCTCACTTCGAGTTCCGAGACACGGCGCGGCTCTTTCAGTACCAAGGACAGCGCCCGCCGCTCTGTCGTTTTAAATCTCCCCTTTGTTGGCGACGGTCTCCGGCTCCAACCCCGCTCGCCCGGCTCGCCCCGGCCCTCCTCCCACCCGTGTTTGATTTCCCTTGTTGGGGGAAGTGGGCGGTATTTCGCCCCCACCTCTTCTCTCGGGTAAGAATTTTCACTGAGGGTGGCCGTGGGGTTTTTTTTGGCTCTCAAAATATTTGAAATCTATAGTTTTTGTTTGTGTTTTTAACTCTTCATCTTTTATTATTCCTGGGGGAAGAGGCTTTGAAGGATGGGGGGGGTGGAGAAAGATATTCTCTTCAGGGATTCGAACCGGTGGTGCGGGGTGGCCCGGAAGGCAGTGGTGTCCGCCCAGCTGCTTCGTTTGCATTTGACCTAAGGTTTAGTGCTTTGAAGAAGTGGGAACACAAGCCCAGAGGTAGAAAAATGCGGGGGCGAGCGCTGGCCCTCCAGCATCTCTCTCCCGGGCAATGGTGTTTGGCAAGCCTGCTGCCGCCACTACTCGATCCGGTCCGCCTAAGGCCAGGATCCTTTAGATCAGCGTTGGCTGGGACTTGAGAACACGACCCTCCGCCCACAGTGTTTGTTCCTCCGGAGGTTGAAAGATTTCCAACCGGATTTGGAGCTGAACCTTTTAGCCAGGGGAAAAGGGTGGGAGGGGTGTAAGGCATGAAAGGGAAACCTAAATGGGCTTCGGGATTTTTTTTATTATTATTATTTTATTTTTTTTTTTTTTTGCGTAAAATACGGTCCACGTCAAGGTGAGTAAATAAGAAACGTCAATCTTTTTTTTTTTTTTTTGACGCATTTAGCATTTTTAGCCTCCAGGAAAGGTAATTTAGAGTCACGGTACCGGTTCATTTCAGCCGCCTCGCTCTTTAAGATCTATTTTAAGGATCTAATTTATGACCAAAAAAAAAAGTGGGGGAACATGGCAGTTCTCACCGTTTCAACGTCTGTCTTCGGAGACGAGGCTGTGGGAAAGCGATGTTCACCGTAATTACGCTCGACTTTTCTTAATTCGGCGCTAAGGTTTTGTTCGTTGCGTTTGTGTACTTTAAAGATACTTCCCAAATCACTCTGGACTTTCTTTGGGGATGATAGCTAAACTGATACCCCTACCCCAACAGACCACACACTCTACTCACTCCCGCGGGAGAGGAGAGGGTTAAAAGGGAAGCGAGGAAGGCAGAACTGCCTGAAGGCTGGAGAGGACTCCGGAGATTACCACATTTTCTGCTAAAGGAGAGAGCTTTCTTAGATAATCGTCAAATTGGCCGTCCCCCATTGATATTCAGAAGACGAAAATATCGTAATATCAAAGAAATTAATCAAGGAGGACAGTGATTTGTATTTGGGCAAATCTTGTGCAAACCAAAGCCCAAATTACTGCTAATCAAAACGCGAAGAGTGACCACCAGGTGGCGGTAGATTACAACCTGAGACGAAACAACGGGCCCCCAGAGGGAAGCAGTTCTTCAAGGAAAACCACAGGCCTTTCACAAAGCGGCGCCCCCCTCCACCCTTTTTTTAAATGCTGAGAGCTGCTGCCAGAAGCGGCCTGAAATACCCAGGGTCTCTGTCCCTTTGGTGATATCCATTTGTTTCCCACAGAGCTACAGCCCCAAGTTAGCCTTAGAAGGGAACTCTGCTCTCAGGCAAGGTGTTTCACAGTAAAACTGGAAGCCCAGGCAGTAAGACCTGGACTGCAATTCTAACAGAGTTTTTGAGATGTATCTGGTTCTTGTTGTTCTCTAAACAAAAACTAAGGTAAAATCAGTCAGTTCCCAAAGGTGTGGGATGCCAGAAACATGACTTCCCCCACCCAGATGCTTTGCTGAAACAATGTGGAGTGGGAGACTAGCGACCGTAGTGAGGCTGCTCATTTATTTCAGTGTGAACTGAACTACTTAAAATAATAGCTATCTAGCCTTTGTTTTCAGTTGCCTGGTACTGTTGTTTGTGAGAAGGTTCTGGAAGGTTATGAATCTGATTGTGGAAAATCTGACAACTTAAACATCTATTTCAGATAAAGTTCCTCCCCTATTCCTGGTCGGTTACTCAGGGGAGAAAACTGAAACCTTAACAGTAAGAATTCATGTTTACTGTCCCAGCTCAGTCCATTTCATGCCAAGAATTTATATGTAAGTGGTCCCTGGAATTTATTTATGCCCAAGGTTCTCACCTGTATCATCTGTAAATCAATGCCCTGGGTAATCCCAAAGCAGTCAGTCACTGAATCTCATTCTATCTTATCAGTTTTAGGGCTGAGATCCTGTTTTCTTTATACTGGGATGAGTCAGGGATCCTTTAGATTAAGTAATCCCTGGATGTGTGGATTTGATGATGTTTTCTTGCTGGGACTAGAGGCACG